TTGACTCGACAAAGACGGCCTTTGTACGCCCATCAATCAATTTGGCGAACGCTTCGGGCTCATCCGAATCTGTGAACTTGACCTTGATACCCAAACGAGGCAAAAAGACCTTGAATTGGTTGTAGGTACCACCATATAGATGAGAGGATGCGATGATGTTGTCACCAGCCTGGGCCAAGGTCGAAATCGCCAAGAACTGAGCTGCTTGACCTGAGGAGGTTGCCAAAGCTGCAGCACCGCCTTCAAGCGCAGCCACACGCTGTTCAAAGACATCAGTGGTGGGGTTTCCGATTCTAAAAAAAAAAAAAAAAAAAAAAAAAAAGTCCAAAAAAGGAACGAGAGTTAAGATTTCACTCCAATTAAAAAAAAAAAAAAAAAAAAAAAAAAAAAAAAACCTGTTCATCAAGAATAAAACTTTTACCTGCTGTAAATGTTTCCAAATTCCTTCAAAGCAAAGAGTTTAGCCGCGTGTTCAGAGTTGTTGAAAGTGAACGAAGTTGATGCATAGATAGGCACGGCGCGAGCGTGTGTATGCTTGTCTAAAAAAAAAAAAAAAAAAAAAATTAGTGAAGATGATCCTGATATTCTCATCCAACGAAAACAACATAGTTGTGCTATTACACTAAAAAGAATGAAATAATGAGGATTCAGCCTTACCTGGAGTGTGGCCAGCATGAACCTGGAGGGTGTCAAAGTGGTGTTTTTTGGAAGCGTTGCTCATTGTTAAGGAATTGGAGAAAACTGGAGTGTTGAAGGAAGGAGAAAAAGAGTTAGGCTTGAAGTGAATAGAGGAGATGTGAGGAAGACAGAGAAAGAAGAAGAAGAAAAAAAAGATTGTTCAAGACACTCTTCTACTTATACTCGCAAAAAAAAAAAAAAAAAAAAAACAAAACAAAAAAAGGAAAGTCTGAAAATGAGTTATCGTCTGTCGATCTGTTGCTGTCCCATGCATAACGTGAATAAAAAATAAAAAAAAAGGAAAAAAAATGCGTGCTTTTGGACCTGAATTTCGTGTCTCGTTGGTCGCGCCATCGTATTCAAGGCAACAAAAGAGGCTCACATGTAAGGGTTACTGCTTTTACAGTGGAAAAAAAAAAAAAAAAAAAAAAAGCATTGTGCAGGGTGCATGCTAATCAAGTAACAAATAGTGTTGAGCTTTCTAAGAAATGACGCGATCACCTTACATATTCTTGTCATCCAAACAAAGACAAGGAGAGAGAAATGCATGTATGCGTTTTGAAATGTCTATAACAATTGGCTCAAATGGTTTGTAAGAAGAGACAACGGACACAAACAAAGTTGAGCAGCAAACACCATGGCGACTGTTCAGACTCCATCTGATACTGTATAAACACCTGAATACTGCCACATGCTATTGACTACTCTACATCCCTTAAACAATATTCTTAGCATACATCTGAACTTTTGCAAGGGATGTGTCAATACTTCGACAAACATGTAACATTTAATGGCTACATCACAGCCCTTGGATTGTGGAAGCGCTGAAAGTATGCGGAAAACGGGAACCATTTGTGTTTTTACTAGCAACAAGCGTGGTTTCAAAAAGTTTGCTCCAAGGAATAAATCCTATATCCTTGATTGCTCAAAAGAGACAATGTTGTCTTTTCTGCACCCCAAAAGCTCGCCATAATCCTATTGAAGCGTTCAGAGGCATTTTTTGCCTCTTGGTTTGAGGGTTAGCAGACTTTCAGTCAAGTTTTATTGTTTTGAACAACACAGTAAATCCTGTCAATTCGAAGTAGTCCCTCTGAATGGCAGCTATCCAGGGGATGCTAATCATTTCCGCTAAATTGCGGTGAAATCAGAGCAGATTTGGAAAACCAACAAGCATCGAACAGTCGCCCATGCGAAATATACAATAGAAAAAAAAAAAAAGAGGGGGCAAAGACATTCTTCATCTTTTTTTTTTTTTTTTTTTTTTTTTTGAAGCTCAGTGTTAAAGCGCATTTCCATGCAACATGTTTATTTCCTTTATTTACAATTCATGTAAAAGTAAAGAGATCTTCCTTTTGCACTAGCATTGCTTGTTTTTTGAGACTGGAACGTGTTACGTACCTCTGTGAATGGTCCTTGGTTGCTTGCTTATATAGCGGAGTCTACGTCTATAATAGCGACCTGTAGCTAAAACAGCACATCCCAACATCCCGTCTTCTCTTTCCAAAATGCTCGCACAGTCGGATCTGCGTCCAAATCTCCTGTCTTACACTTGGCGCAAACTCAAAAGTTAGGTTTTTGACCCTTCCCGCCATCTCAAAAATCTGTAAGTCAACGCCACTGTGCCAAGTGTTTAGAAATGAATTAAACAAATGATGAAGAGTTATATATTTTTTATTACGAAGAATGTTTGATACAAATACAGTTGAATGCGAGATTCTTTTGAACAAAGTTTTTTTTTTTTTTTTTTTTTTTTTTTACAAAGAGACAAGGGATGATACACTTTTATAATTATGATCTTGTATAACACACTCTAACTTCCATCTTTCTCCTCTCACCCATGTTTCTCATGTTGTTGTTAATGATGTTGATGTTGATGTTAATGTTAATGTTGATATTGATGTTGATGTTGATGTTGATGCTTTTCGTGTTACATAGCATTGCTCTTTATGGATAGGTCTTATGACAAGATCCATCCCATCTCCATTTTGATTGATCGTCCGCGCTTGGTCTTCAAAGGGACAGTCCTTGAGATGGGCTTCTCAATCATATCCCATGCGTCAACGTAAGGTTCGTTATACTTGCACTGCACGGGCTCATCATCGCGTCCAACCACGTACACAGATCTTTCTTCTACTTCTTCCGTCATAGGTAGACGAATCGGTGGCAGTCTTGTGCTAATAGGTGATGTCGATGAGATATCCATCGCCGTCGGAGATGTTGAGGAAGAAGTAGAGTACATGGATGATGACGATGGCCAGTCCGAGGTCTTGATTCGAGGCAATGAGAAATGTTTATTTGAAGCGGTAGGTGTCACGGATCCGGAACTCGTTGGTTCCCTATTGGTAGGATGGTATCTGGGCGAGAATGAAGGTGAATAGGCGATGCGAGGGCCATCATCATTGTCCAGAGAGAGAGTCTGGGGAGACATTGAAGATGCTACTGAGCCAGAGGAAGACAAAGCAGGGATAGATGAAGGTCGCTCATAGCCATCATGACTCATACTTTGGTATGGGCATGACTTTAGAGCCTGACCTTGCATAGCGGCAATCTGACAGCAGCACTGCGCCGCAGAAGGGGGTTTCATCATCATGCTTGAACTCTTGCTGGCTGTACTTCCATAATTGGCATTAGGAGATGATGGAGACAGTTGGCAGTGAGATGGACGAGCATACGGTGTGGCGGGATTGTAAGCAGACTGAGCATGCTTGCGAGAAACACGCGTATGAGATCGGTCTGGGCGCGAAAAGGAACTAGGCAAGCGCTGCGTTAGGGCACGTTCCAGTTCCATCTCGTAATCGATGGGTTGGCCGACCCGACTAGGATCTTGCGAAGACTCCATCTCTTTAGCTTTAAGATAGGCAGCTAACCCAAAGGTCTCGGCCATGTCCTGCTCATGGGCTGTCTGCTTATGCTTTCCGACCGCCTGTGCACGCCAAATAGGGACATCTTTTTCGTTTTTATTGCGTTGGTCGGAGGCAGATGTGTCTGTCAACTGCACCCTGTCCACGTGTTCACTGATTTCGTTTACAGCCCTGCTCATTTTGTCAGTCGGAACAGGTTTGGAAGAGGAACTTCCGTTGTGTATCTTGAAGTTACGAGCGCGCTCGATAGCGTTACTCCACTCCGCATAAGACTGCATAGCCATCGTGGTATCTGCTTCTGATGGTACAGGAGCACCATAGGTCGCAGCACATGCATTAGGAGTAGGACAATCATAGCTGTTGTTAACATGAGGAGTTGGAGGAGCCGGCCGAGATCTTGTCGGAGACATCATACTTTTGCTATTCGTAGGACTATTGCTGCTCTTGGGACTGATGCTATTATTACTATTATTGCTACGACTGGTATGGTTACTGCGGGCGATCGTGATAGAAAGTGGGGCGGAAGGAGAAGTGACGGTGGTAGAGGAAGTAGAAACAGAGGCAGAGGCAGGAGAGGCAATTGAAGACTCGACAGCAGAAGAGGAGGAGGAGGAGGAGGAGGAGGAGGAGGAGGAAGAGGGTGGGATCACAGGGGTAGCAGAGGAGGTAATAAGACCTGTACCATCCCTACGATTCTTTGGATTGTTGAGATGGCGATGGAACTGACGAATGTCCAGTTGAACTGAAGTCATTTCTTGGTAGGAGCATTCAGTATTGTGTTTCTCACAACGAGAACAAGGCTCTTTGCGATCGCACTTGACCTTCTTTGATCTGCAACGCAGACAGGAGGAGTAGACCTTTAGACGCTTGAGGTCATAAGCAACAGGATCAAGCTGTGGAGTGGTAGTGGTGGAAGGCATGAGCTGTAATGTAGATGTTGACATGATGTGTATGAATGTGTATGTTTGGTGTGGATCGTGTTGTGCGAGCCACTGTTACAACTCGGTTGGTATTGCTATTGTTTATCAGGAAGAAGAGAGAGAGCGAGAAGAAAAAAAAAAAAAAAAAAAAAAAAAAAGTGTGGTTGTTGGATGACTGAATGATTGGCTGAATGAAGTTTTGAAGTGTGATGAGGCAATAGTTTAAAAAAAAGGTTACGGAGGAGAAATGCTCAATTAGGAATATAGACCGAGATTGAGAGACAAAGAGAAACAAAACAAAAAAAAAAAAGTGGGGTACACTTCAGAGACTAGGAACGAACAATGAATAAAACGGAGAAAAGAGAAGGGAAGAGAAGAAAAAAGAGAAAAGAGAAGAGAGAAGAGAGAAGAGAGAAGAGAGAAGAGAGAAGAGAGAAGAGAGAAGAGAGAAGAGAGAAGAGAGAAGAGAGAAGAGAGAAGAGAGAAGAGAGAAGAGAGAAAGAAGAGAGAAGAAAGAGAAAGAGAAAGAGAAAGAGATGGGCTATCCAAAAGAAACGTGTCCTTTTTATTAAAAAGAGAGAGAGATGGAGGTATGGTTGGGTTGGGTTGGATGATGAAGATGTGTAAACAAACAAACAAAAAAGAGATGGATGTTCAGCCGACAGACAGTACCGGAGTCCGATGACCAGGAATAGAAACAGTTTTTGCATCTGATACATCTGATAAGGGCAATCCACACCCACACAATCACACACAATCACACACATGCTTACTTTCTTGTGTTTGACATTGTTACTCAATTTATTCCGTAATGCTTTTTTTCTTTTTTTCCTCTTTGTGAAGCATAGACAGATTCTCTCTTTCACTCTATCAGCTTGCCTTGTCTGTCTTTAAGCCGCTAAACTATTGGTTTGAGAACGAAGGATGATGAACATTTACGACGTTTGTCCCATGCTTCTCTCATCAACCTCGGTACATTGTTGCTAAATTCGTCGACATGTTCGGAGTGAGTGCAAACAGAAATATAAAAATGGAGCCCATTTTCTAAATCCGCCTTTTACAAAACGAAAACCCGAGCATCATTCAGCAGCTCTCTTATAAACTAGTCAATATCATGTACATGAGGAACCACGATGATATGATCGTAAGTATGAACAACGGTCCATCGAAAAAAAAAAAAAAAAAAAAAAAAATGAATGAGTGAGTACATGGTACAAACATTAAAATACATGAACATGTCAACTTCTATAGTATAGATATACCAAGTGCATTGCATGATCATTATTTTTTTTTTACCACGGTTTATCAATCCCACAAGCATAAAAGTGAATTAAATAGAGCCGAAATGCATGTGGTTCGTTGATGTTCACTATTTTTGTTTGTTGTCAATTCTTCCAATTCTTTCAATTCTTTCGACTTTCCCTCCAATGACTCCAGTTCAATGGGTCTTTTTTTTTTTTTTTTTTTTTTCGGTCACCGCTCTTCTGCACGGTTCTGAATGCTGACTCGGGGCGTCTTTTCCTTTCTCTCTTGTCTGGTCGGAAACTCAAAAATTTCACACAGCACACACATGCATTCGTGTACAAAAAACGTATTTGACTAGAAAGAAAGTGTGGGAATGCTTATCTGATCTTCTCCTTTTTTTTTTTCTTTTTTTCAAAACCTCCTATGCAAAATGACAAATACTGAATGAAACCCAGTCAGTTGATCCTCTGAAAAAAAAAAAAAAAAAAAAAAAAAAGGCGTGGCGCTTCTTTACATTATTACTTTACCATGATCACATAAACATTTATGCGGACCATCTCTCTCTTTTCGGAGAATATCCATCAACGCGTTTTTATCTTCTTCATCTTGTGTCCCCGTTGAGCGAAGATATTTCACTGGATAAAGCTACTCACCCAAAAAAAAATTTATAAAGCAAGCACCTCCGTTCGTAAGAAAGGATGAATGACAACGATTAAAGTGAAGCCTGCCGCCTCCTTTTTTGGTCTACGCCCATCGGTGATCAGTAGCCTGATGTAAATTTTCTTGGAGAAAGAAAAAGAATGGGACAAGTACGATTCGGGAGCAAGAGTTCCATGATTAGAAACATTGTGTATGCATATAAGCTTTTTTTTTTTTTTTTTTTTTTTTTTTTTTTTTGAAAGCGGGGGAATTATTTTTGCGTGTACCTTATCGGCCTATCCACTAATTGTTGACAACCTGTCAATTGACGTGAGCATACCATGTAGTACATGTCTGAAAACAAAAGGACACAGGTTTACTTTCTGAACAAATTTAAATTGAGTCCTTTGGAGATTCCAGAAATCATCTTACTTATTGGCGACTTGCTCGATCAATATGACCTACGAAACTAAATCCGTTTTATCAAAGCTTTTCATAGAGCTCTAATTGGGCTCATATGAAGGAATATCACAACCAGATCATTCAGACATCACACTGGCGAGGCACTGCAGAAAAACAAACAGTCCATTAAAGAGATTAGCTTTGAAGTACAGGACTTTCCAAGGGAAAATGGGCGATTGCAGGGATACGATCATCTCCAGTACATCGCATACATAAGGAAACATTCATGACCCGGAGACCCGGACCGATTCGCTTTTTGAAACTGATCAAGGTCCACAACTCCACCATCACCAGGCTTCGCCTAGAAAGTACTCAAACTTCATATGGGCTCTGGGAGGTAGCGCTAGATTGCGCCAACCACAATCATTTTGTAAAATCTATCTACTGCAACTTTCTATCACCTTCCTTAGTGATAAGGTCAGTGAATATATTCTCCATTGTGTATTAACTATTAAGCATATTGATATATACTCCTCTATACCTGTACATACCATCGTATTACCTCGGCATGTTAGTTAAGAGATCCCCAGGATGATGTAGACTTGAGTTTGCAAAGCTAAATGGCTTTGGCTACCTGAGTAAACAAGAAGTAATAATTCTACAGGAAGGCGTCCATTCAGCATCTCTTGACCATGAGCTATTTTTCAGAGCCGTCTTTCCCTGACATGAACATAAAAGACGAGGATATTGCGGCACTTCTCCAGTTCTCTGACGGATGACTGGGTTAAGATGGCCAAGTGTCTGATGCTGTGAATTCGATTAGCTTTGTCTCCAGGAAATACTTGTAGACAAGCAAGAGATGTTGGATAAAGGACATCTGCGGCTCCGCGAGACATTTGAGATATTGGCGCTCGATGAACGAAGTATTGCAGAAATAGCAAAGGATAGAAGTGGACTTCTTCACTAAAGGAAGGCTAAAGAAATCATGATTCTTATACTCATTCGAGGGCCGTTTTAACTTGGACAAATTTGCCTTAAGTTTTATCATCTCGTTTCAGGACAGATTTATTTTTTTCTGGATCCTTTCAGTAGTAAATCATATAAAAATTATTTTGCTTTTATTCTTTTATTTTATGCAAGTCGCTTCACTTCCTGGAGAATTTTGCCGATCCTCTGATAATCGCTCAAAAGTTCTAGTGCATTCACGCCACAGCAATAATAATCAGTCCAACACAAAAACAAAAGGTACTTTTAGTGTTCCTTACCGTTTACATTTCCTTTAAAAAAAAAAAAATCCATCTTCAGTACTTACTCTGAATATCACTCAGCCGCAAATCTCCAGCATCCGTACACGCCATGAATTCGCGCTGTGGGCCTTCGGATGATCGTATGAACTCTAAGGCTCGGCTCTACGTAAGATTAACAAAAAAGACATTAGATTAAAATATTGGACCCAACATGATATGTCTTTACCAATTTCAGGAATCATCTCCAATAGTACCTTGGCGGCATGTTCCATCGCTGTATCATGCGAGCTTGATTTCTCGATGGCTCCGCCTTGACTATGGCTACTGCCGCTGCTGCCTACGGTCGCATCGACGCTTAGGACGGTTACATTACTCGTTACTTCTGCAGGGCTTACTAAGCCAACAAGGGTCTTGTCTTTTTCCTCAGCTGCTTTCCGTTTCATCTCCTCTTCAATCGCAGCCGCAGCAGCAGCCGTGGCTGCTAATGAAGATGCTGCTGTTGTGGGTTTCGTACCGCTACGGCTCAGATTGGGTCCAAGTCCTCCTTTATTATTACTCAAGCCATCCGCCGCAGTAAGCAGGCGATTAAAGAATTTTGAATATCCATCCTGAACAACATCCGAGATCACTTTGAGACCCTCCCCTGCGACACCAGCGAGTTCTTGGCTGACTTTGTGTCCAAGAGCCTTGGTTTGGTCCAGTCCCTCCTGAAAATTGAGAAGCGGTGCGGGTGGATTAAGCTTTCCACCAGGGATAACTTGAATGTCAGACATATCACTAAAATTTACCCATAAATAAAATAAAAATGATATAATTCGGTCACATTAAGAAGAACGCTAAAAAAAAAAATAAAAAAATAAAAAAGCTATTCGCTCTTAGTTTCCATGAATGCTGCACCCAAAAGCTATACCTCATAACTCTAATGTCATTAGACAGTCCAAGTGCCTTAGGGTCTAGTGTTTCTAAGAATGAAACTACAGCCATCATATTGGTAAGGCAGTATGCAAGCTCTCCTGTCAGATGGTCTTGAACTTTGAATCGTTGAATATATCTAAATGCAAAAGCAATTAGAAAATAAATAAATAAAAGGAGGAAGGAGAAGTCTCACATTCTTATCGTAATGCATGACTCATACAAGTTCATACTTATGGGGGATTACCTGAGGTTTGAAATCAGCATTGGCGGGTTGCTCTTTACAACACTAAAGATAAGCAGTGGTAAAAGCACGTCTGCACTATACTGCCTCCTTGACGACGAAGGTGTAGGCGAGGCTGTCGGTGCAGGTGCTGCTGCTCTGGTGCTTGAGATATCTGAAGCACCTTTAACAGGTTCAACTGAAACTGTCGTGCCAACTTCCATAACAGGGCTCATAGGTAGCGCAATTTTGGCTGGGTCAACTTCAGTTGCTATCGTCAAAGGATCTTCTCTCCCGTTTTCCGTATCATTAACAATCTTATTGTCCTCAGTTTTTTCGTTTTCTTCCTCGAACTTTGTTTTTGGATCATACTTTTTCATTTCATCTCCTTCTTTAGTAGCCTCAGCCTGATCAAAGCTTTCCTTAGGATCCGCTTGATCCTTGTTTTTTGATTCCCCCAACTCTATCATATGGTCTCTTTTTTCGGTGTCTGTCTCAAGCGATGGCCGGTCATACCCTTCATCCATGGGGATCCTTGGTAAAAGAGCACCGCTACTGACGGAAGAATCAAGTCGAGGAACGAGTCCATCCATTGGGATTTTTGGGATGCTGAGTCGTTTATTCACTGAAGCAGTTGACGTTGTTCCCGCACCCGGAACAGTAGTCGTCAGTAAGGTTGTAGTATTGCTTCCTATACTTTCTGTTGCTGCTGTTGCATTGTCCTTTGCACTTTCATCAATTAGCGTTTCTTTTGTTCCCCCAACTCCCACCATTAAATTCTGAACAGCTGACTCTCTATTTAGAGCATCTAGGAGACAGAAGGTCGACGAGGTTTCTACTACATCAGTGAACCACGTATGGGAAGACTAGCATTGTTCTTCGTTTATGGAGTACAAACAGCCTAAAGCTAACTTACCAACAACGACGCGATGTGATGATAGAATGACGTTCATTTTGTCGGACGGAGACCTGACCATGGCTAGTTTCTGCATTTCTAGGTATCACAGAGATTATAAATGGAAATATGCTGCCAATATGAAAATCTCCAATTATTTCTTTTTTTTTTTTTTTTTTTTTTTTTTTCTTGAAAGGAATGATCACAATTGATATAAGACTCCTGAACCTTACCAGTCCCTCCCTCCCGGACCACTTGAGCGATATGCTCCACATCCTCGGGTTGCTCCAACACAAATCCAAGATGCTCCAGAGTTAGGTCCAAGAAGTTCAGCGCCGCAATCTTGGCTTGTAACTGTTCGTCTTGTAGATAGTCCTGACTGTTGATTCCATAAGACGAATGCGGGAAGATTGCCTGGTACATCTCTCTGCAAAGCCATGCTTCAACCCATTGTTGTACTTCATCATAATCTTGGTCATTCCATCGGCTTTTCATCCCTGATGCAGAGCCATATGCCTCAAAACGATGGCGAACATCGTCGTACTTCCGTTGAAATTCGTTAGAATACCGATCTGCACTGCTCAGAGGGCTCTTCCTGAGCTTTAGTACGAAGCTAATGAAGAGAGTTACTGATAGTTAAAACTGGCATGTTCGAGATGCCATTTTCCTCAGTTATTTATTTTGAGAAAGAAAAAAAAAAAAAGCGTCTTTTTTACCTTTCCAGACCCTTGACAACACTATCCCATTCTAATGGCAAATCCGAGCCGATCTTTGGCAATTTGGGCAAAGATGCTGTGTCCTTATTATTATCATCATTCATGTTCATTGACCTTACGGAGCTTGTTGATGAGCCGGTTGTCCTCCTGGCTTCAGAACGATCTTTGACAGTTGCAATGCCTGTTGCCAAAGGCACAAGTGGTGTGGGTATTGCATCGCCTTCCGGTCGCGGAATGATCCTGTCAACCAATAGTGCATGAATAGGCCCTACAGACTCTACATAAATGAATACAGGGCGTTTGCTGGAGTTCACTAATTTAAGCTCATTTATATCTGTACCATTACTATTATCTCCCAATATAGATCCTTCAAGCGCGTTTGATGATTTTGATATATTGTCAAAAAACGAGCGTTTGGTAGGACCAGAAGCATCTGCAGGAATTGTGCCGAAATCCTGTCCCGTAGCCATTCCTAGCATAGTAATAGACGAAGATGCTGGTCTAAGGACCCCCCGTATCCCACTGAGAGTAACAAACAGAGACTCGCCAGAGTTGCTTTCAGGAATGATAACATGATCTTCATACGTTGACCTTGGAGGCGTTGGTTCCTCTGTGGATGCTGCACATGTTGGGAGGATCAAAATAGCCTAAAGTAATGGTATTAAATATTGACACAATTAAACACTTTCATCTTTATTATATTTTATCAACATTCAAGCAATTGGACGTGATTTTGCCGAGGCATACCTTCTTAGTGACAAGCATTCGGATAATATCTGCAAGCTCAATGGGATGCTCTTGTATCCGCTTCAACAACTCATAAGCCTGCGTCCCTGGTGCCATCAATGTCACATCCTTGGCGGTAGGCTCTTCATTTTCTTTAATACTGGTACCGCTATTATTGCTCTGGATAGATCCACTTCTCTGTCCTCCAATGCCGGAAGCGGCGGCATTCTCTGCTGTACTGCTGGATCGACGACCCCCCAACAGCGGCGAGGAAAAGATGCTTGAGCGACTTGCGCTTGATGAGCTGGTCGTGCGTCGAGTTGGCAATGCCGGCATTGATGAAGAGCCGGCTGAGATTGTTGCAGCGCGCCTTGAGAACGACGCGGCTGGTAAGGAAGATGATGGTATACTGTCGCCAGTTAATGATGATGATGATAATGGATCATCGAATGCCTCTGCACGACCTTCTCCTGTCTCAGGACGGTCGTCCTCACGGTATCCCTGGGTATTTAGGCCTCTTGTGCCTCTTAGAGACGAGAACGGAGCAGCATCGCGTAATGGTGTGTCTGTTGGCGACCGTCCTGCATTCAGTGAAGACATGCGCCCACTTGTTGGAGCATTGCGCGATTTAGTAAGTCCATCAAAGAAGGATAAACCTGGAATGTTCTGCATGTGGATTGAAATGCTCTTTTATTTTACTTTTTTTTACAGTTAGAGGAGGGTTTTTGTGATGCAAGGTCTCATCAATACATCGATAAGGATGTACACGTGATAGGAAGCACAGCCTCAACGATCTTGCATTGTTTCATGTTCATTATGCAATTGCTGATTGTGCATCTAGACAATTGTCGCACAATATACACCCGAAACACCGTTTCCTGCAACGATCTTCAATTCGATCAACTCTACTACACCCGCCTTGGGATCTTTGTCGTTAGGTTTCTTTGATTGCTCCTTTTTCGTGTCTTGTTGTGGATCGGATCGTGGCTGTGCAGGCATGAGCTGTAACCGGTTTCTAGGGTTCAATGTGTCGACTTCCTTATCCCGAGAAGTGCCTTGAGAAACAGCGGCAACAGCCTTGTCAGCTGGCTGAAGGGCCTCAGAATCCAGTGGAAGCGCATGCACAGGCTCCGTCTTGTTGACTCGTTTGCCAGTTAAAAGTTGATAGTATGTATTCTGCCCCCTGCAAAAAAAAAAAAAAAAAAAAAAAAAAGCTTTTGTAAGACCTATTAAATATTTTTAATGCAGCTGCAAAGACCATCGCAATTACCATGATAATACATCACGTCCATGGATGACCGTGGCCTTATTTGGGACGCTATCTTCAATCACAGCATTATCGAGGACTGCAAACGCGTGTGTTGATCCTATGGCGAAATCATGGATGCCAATAGGCACCATCTTCTTCTCTGCTTCTCTATCTATCGGGTTATATTTGAGGCCAAAATGTGAATAACATTTAGTCTTCACTTTCCGAAGCATATTTCTTAAACTGTACAAAGATAAAGAAAAATAAAAACTTACATTCAGCAAGGTTAGAAAGCGGTGTAATGGTGACCAGCGACCCCTGGATGTGCGTATACTAATGTAAGACATAAGACTTGTATGAGTATCAATCAGATTGCAGACCTAATCTAAATTAATTGAATAGTTATAATAACAAAACTCCAAACTTACAGTGCCATCGCCCAGCTGGCCCCATTGGCCCAAACCTGCAGATTTGACTTTGAATGCGTTTTTCTCCTTGGTAACCACGTAGCTCGTCTGTCCACCCGCTGCGACCTTCACACATTCTGGGCCTCCACCAGCAGTAGTCCCTTCAAGACCTTGAATCAACGTGGGTTGTGCTAACTTCAAGTTTGCATGAGAATATGCTCCCTGAGCCAACTGCCCAAATCCATTGACCCCCCAAGCCCAGCAGCGACCTTGATCATCCCGTGCTAACGAGTGTACTTCTCCACATGCGACCTCCAAGATTCGGCTTTGACGGAAATCACTGCTACCGACTACAGAGACAGAGAGACCATCCTCTGATCCAAAGACGCGACCCTCAGACGTAAGCATCAATACGTGGTTCTTTCCAGAGGCGATCGAAGTAATACTTGAGGCCATTTAAAGGAGGAAAAAAATAAAATAAAATAAAATAAAGAGAATCGAAATATAAAAACCTATTAGTATCGCTTCTTTTTTTAACACACACATACACACATATATATACTTACGTCTCATTCTTCTGCAGCAGCTCGTGAATAGGAAGTTGCGCCATTGGGTCGGCATTATTATTACCACCATTGCCGCCAAAGCCCACATATTGCCATACGCTTGACTTTGGTTTCTCATATTCAATTGCTACTTTGGTTGGTCCAGACGTGGGTCGGACTTTGGGCATCACATACACGCTAGTACCATCCATTGATAAACCATACAATTTTGTATCACAGAGTGTGATACGCTTAATATCACGATTCCGAAGTGTCACTTCTGGTTGATGAGATGAGCTATTATATCCTGCGCCCCATTGATAGACATTTCCCTCCTCATCCACAGCAGCTAACACAGAGTTAATGAATTGATGAAATAAAATTAACATAAATATCAATCGGATCAAATTGAAATCGAGATTCTAACCATGACGGAGAAGGCCTCATATAAATCCAAATATATGAACACGGCTATTTAAATGAACTTACCAGCGATATCATCTCCGAGCTTAAGATCGCGCAAGACCTTTCCTTCAAAAGCGACGACTCGTTGAGGAATTGAGACAATTCCAGGGCTCTTTCCTGAAGGGTCTATAAGTCCATTCCTAAAATTAAAGAAATTCTCCGTACCCAAAATGACGGGCGTAGGAGTTTTCTCTATTATAAGAAGCCGTATTGTTTACTTTTTTTTATTTATCATAAAACAAGATCCCTTTTTTAGAACAACACGCTCAACACTTTACTTGTTAGATCCCCAGAGCATGATTCCAGGAACTCTGATTAATGCAGATTGATCCATCTGCTTCCAGCTCGTCACTGTCAAGGTGGTGTCCAGTGCAATATCATTTTGATCTATTGGTTGAGGCTTCTTCCTGAACATCCTTGCTAACTTAGCTCCAAGGCTATCAGTGTTTATATTCTTTGAATCATTAGGACTTGAAGGAGCGTCGTTTTGCACCGCATGATGACGGCCAATCAATCCAAGTGACGGTGATTGAAGGACAAGCGACACTCCCGTAAAGACTACCCCTGCGCCAATATACCACCTTGTCGAGGGACGCCATGGTTCAGTCTGATTAGCTTTGAATGTCACCGCTGTTGCTTGTTGTCCATGTACTGTTGAAATGGAACGATGTTGAACAGATGAGGCAAAAGTCAGTGACATACATGCTTCTGCCCTTACTCTCGGCACTCCTTTTGCTCTTGCTACTAATGCTCCATTCCTAAGTCTGCTGACTCCTTGTTGTCCTAAACAAAACATGGTCTAATTTTTTCGAAGGGAGGGTTTTTTTTTTTTTTTTTTTTTTTTTTTTTTTCCGAGCCTCCGAGATCCTAAATACCCTAAAAAAAACATTTGAAAGTTGTGACTTAATTATACATCCCTCTCACAATTTCCGGACTTCCAGATATGGCTACACCTCTTTTAGTGAAGGAATGCTGGTTGATTAAATACTTTACATGGGAGTAGCGCAATAAATCTTATTCTTTTAATCAGGATTTTATAAGCTTTGTGAATAAGGGCCATGAAGTCCTGCATGAGAAGCACTGTTTTATCTTCAAGTTTCTATAGATCGATGAAGCCCTGCTCTGCTCAATTTCAGAGAATGTTTTAAAGGGTATTAAGATTCATTTATTATTGTATCTTATTATTTAAGTTAATGTTGGCTACAAATTGTGTGTATTATGTATGAAGCGAATGAAGAATGATAGAAAAAGCTTCTTTTTTTTTTTTACTTGCCAAAGGCAGTCTGGTTGCGGAAGAGATCGCAGTGATGAGGGTGTTGGATGCAGTACTTAGGGACAACAGGGGCGGGAGCAAGGCCACGGGAAAGCAAGCGCTCACGGAAGTCAAAAATACGGGTAGAGAGCTCGGTGGTGCGCTTCCAGCCTTCCTCATCGCGGTTACCGGACCAGAGCAACTCAGCAAGAGCGCCAGCACGGGGCCATACCTTGGCATCGACGACTGCATCATCTGACTGTTCGGACCATAGGGCAGCCTCAGCACCAATGACGTGCTTGGCTTCCTCCTCAGTCAAGCCCTTGGTGAAGTCATAGGAGTAAATGCGCTGCCAGGTCTTGTAGGGGGCACACCACGACGCACCGGCGCCACCGTAGTTGACAGTGGTGGGGGTGTATGCGCTGGGGTTGGCTTCAAAGGCATCTGCAATGGCCTTAGGGAGAGCTGGGGGCTCGTTAACGTTGTAGCGGGGATCGTTGGTAACATAACCGCCGTTACCGCAGTCGAGATACAAGAAGTCAGCTGAGCTGACAACGACATCGTAACCCTTGCTGGTAAGTGTCTTGATGTTCTCAACACCCTTGTTCCAGGACTGCATGATGATGGACTTGGGAACATCCTTGGCAGGCATCTCATGCGAGAGAATGATATCCTCCCACATCATCAAGCGGCGGCTGGGTTTGTCGTTGTAGATGGGAAGGGCCTTCTCAAGGTAGTACTGAGCAAAATCAGAGTAGGTGGCACCAGGGCGCTGCTTGAACCAATCCATGGCAGAGGACGAGTAGTTGTAGCAGTAGGTGTTGAGTTCATCGGAACCAACGTGGAAGACGTTATCAGTGAAGAGTTTGGCAGTCTCATCGTAAACATCCTTAATGAGCTTGTAGGTACCCTCATATGAAATGTCGAGTTGACCAGGGTTGGGCTGCACAGCAGAGTGGTGAGTCCAGCCATCGTTGTCCCACCATGAATCAGCGCAAGTAACAGCCTTCTTATCAACCTGGAGCCAGCCAGAAGATGAGTGACCAGGCAAGTCAATCTCAGGGATGATACGGACACCACGCTCGCGACCGTACTCAACCAACTTCTTGATCTCCTTCTGGGTGTAGATCTCACGGGGTGAGTAAGCATCCTTGGTCATTTGAGGGTGTTTCTTGATTTCAAGAGGCCATGACTGAGTGTCGGTGATGTGCCAGTGGAAAACATTGAGCTTGGCCCAGGCAAGAGCATCGATCTGCTTACGAAGGGAGCGAATAGAGTTAAAGTTACGGGCAGTGTCGTACATCACTCCACGATGGGTGTACTTGGGGGCATCCTCGATGTGGACAGGCTGCTCGATCACGAGACCGTGCTTACCATCATCAATGACAATCTGTTCAAGAGTGCTGAGACCGTGGAGGGCGCCCCAGATGGTCTTAGCAGTGATCTGACCCTTACCGGAAGCAGTAATATCCAAAGTGTAAGACTCATCAACGCCGTGTTGAAGGTCGGCTTTTGTGTCCGAGACGTGGACATTGATAGTGCTGAGGGCTCTCCTGCTGCCTCCATTCTTGAAGGCCTCAACTTCTTCATTCTCATCACCGCGCTTCTCGAGCGTAGGGAAAGGAGGGAACTCAGGGATGGGCTGTTCCCACGACTGAGGGATCCAGCGCTCTTCCTTAATGAGCGAAGCAGTGCGAGCATAAGCCTTGTTCAAAATTTCATGTCTGGTTCCTGTGATGCGGAAGTTGTTTGCGACCCTGATAGGCCCAGAGGTACCCCACTTAATGTGGACAGGCTTGGGCAAAGGGTTAACCTTGACGGCCTCCGAGGAGACAGCAAGGGCTAAGAGACCAATAGCAGCAGCAATAGAAATCTTCATGATGATAGAATGGATGAGAGAGAGATGGAGGAAATGGAGAAGGGGGAAAAGGGACAGAAAGAGAACGAAAAGAAAAAGGTTGGTGTTGTTGTTGAGAAGGCTGGTTGTAAGACAAAGTAACTTGAGGGGGGAGGTGGTGCCTTTTTATAGACGATCATGGTTGTGGAGGGAGTGTCTACAAAGTGCGAAATGTAATATGTACGTCGAGGTTAGGATAGATCGAGACTAAGGTGTTCGGGCAAAAAAATGCAAATGCGAAAAAGGTATGGCCGATCTGACGATAAAGAAAGAAATCCCTTGTTGTTAATGTTGCTGTTTGTTTAGCAGGAAGACCATGGGCAATATGGTTTGTAATTGATTCAACTGAGCAAAGCAAATGGATCTTCCAACACAAATCAAAGTATAACAAATAAAATGAATTATGGAGGAAAGAACAAAAAGGCAGGGAGAGCAGGTTTATTGAGCAGAGAGAGTGAATGCTTCTAATTAAGAATTATTTGTAATAAATCAGTCCGCATGTTTGTCTAGTGCACGAAAAGAATGAGAAAAAGCACTCATAAACACATGCACATTTTTACACAAACGCACACCCTGAGAGAGCCTTTCTTTACTTTGCAATTGTGTACATGTACATGTACTCCACGGAATCCCTGGAAAACTGATAAAAAATTAAGTTGAAGACAGTCTGGGATATGGATAAACTCTCTTGGACACAAGAATATGAAGGTGGGTCTTCTCTCCCTATTCAAGAACCAATTGAAATAATTACTCCCTCTTTTTTGTTGTTTTTGTTTTCTGAACTTTTCTCTTATGTCTTTCTCGGTCATTTGCCCGTTTTCGCATTATCTGTAATTTTTTTTTTTTTACATAGTTTGCCTACTATACCTTCTCTGTGTTCACTTCTGCATCATTTTGTCCTCTATCTACTGTTATCTGATCAAGACGCCCAGGAAGATTGAATTTCCAGGACTCTTCAAATTGAACGCAAAGCAAAAATAAATAAAGAGAGAGATAGACCGGATTGACAAACTGTGCGCGTTTTTTTTTTTTTTTTTTTTTTTTTTTGAGAACATTATAATAAAAAGAGAGGAGACTAAAAAACGGTGAAATTGCTTTTTACTGTTGTCCGTGGAACAGCATCTAAGATTAGATCACTCTTGGCGTTGCCATTGGTCGAATGTTGTTTTTTATGCTTTACTGCCCCAGTGAAGAACAAAACAACAAACAAATCGTCTCAAGCATGATGGAGTGTACAAAGAAAAAAAAAAAAAAAAAAAAAAATAAGGCCTGTGGGTATCCATGAATGGTAGATACTGTACACATCCATGTTTACTGCATGATACTTAGCGAAGACAATAGAAACGAGAGAAGAAATTAAAGCAATGCTCACTATTGAGGTCATCTTGGTAAATAAAATGTTGATGTAAACGACAATGTTACTCTAGAATACGCTTATCGATTTTGTAAAACCAGCAGACATCGAATAGTTCTCGCATTTTTTGTTATTCCTTTTTACTATTATACTATGGACCCTGGCATGCAATGTATTGCTCATTATAAGACGAGAGATTACAGCATGGCCCCTTACAGGAGAGCATAGAGGTCAAATCGATACTACCCTGAATGACATTGATGTACTCACACCAAGGGTATTCTTTACGGAAAAGTAGGCTTGTAATATTTCTGTGCTATTTCATATCCGATCAACAGAACTTTCAATGCGTTGGCTATTAGGGGGTTTTTTTTCCAACATCAAGCTAAATCGCTGATTTCGTCAAAGACGATTCAAAATAGCGGCTTTTCTGGACAATACAATCAACAACGATCATGATGATGCGAATAAAGGATTGATAGGGCAGGCTCTCGAAATTAGTTCTTAAAAGCATCACAACACTGCCAAATGAAGTAGTCTATCCCGTCAACGGTAATGTTATTGAGCAAAAAAAAAAAAAAAAAAAAAAAAGCCGGAGGTTGTTGGATAGAATATAATTAGGCAAAATGGTAGCTCAATGCAAGAGGGTAAGATCTTGGTGGAGAGAGGGAAAGAAAGACCACCATTTTTTACATTGTACTGTACAGTGTCTGCAATGTATATATCATCTTTCACTCATGGTCATTTAGAAGGGTACATACTTGGAAGTATCTCTTCTCTCTGCGCCTTTGGGTGGGCGTACAGGAAAGGGGTGACAAGATGCATTATCTTTTCATGAGATATTATCTACGACTATAATCTAAAAGAAGTATCTATCACGCGTAACGGGACTGGAATAAAAAGGTTTTCGTGAATGGATGTATAAACATGCGTGATATTAGAGAGAGGGGTTCCAAGATGCTGGTAAAGCTCCCAAAGGATGATGTATGCGACACGTAAAATGGGCAACGAGTGATGGACAGAAGATCAAATGTTTGTTTTTGCGAGATGCACTTTGAGTTTTCAGACTTGTCTAGAAAGACAAGTAAACTTTTTTGTTTGTGTGACCAAGATCCAATTGATATTTTATCAGTCCCCCAGAGATAACCCTTCTTCCTCTGCATAGAATCTAAATGAAGTACAGGTTTTTGCTCGGAAGGCTGCGGTCGGCTATCACCATCTTCGACCATGATGGCCTTGATAACCACAGTAAGGAATCTCGGAAAAAAAAAAAAAAAAAAAGAATCATAAACTTAAACTGCTGAATGGACATCACCTCTAGTGAGGATATCTTTGCTTGTTTAGGTGGGTTACTGAAATTGTTCGTCGCAACGTTTCTCGCTTTTGATTGTAGGCCTAAATTGACTCCTTTTTTGGCTAGTCTGAGGTTTAAACTGTAAATCACGTGGCACGCCATTCAATAGGCGCTGGTCAAAGTGACAACCACAGTTCTCTATTTCTAAGCACACATTGGTATCTGATTCTAAGCACACCTAGGAATGCAACTTGAGTGGCGATGATTTTGGACTGCTAGTAAAATTTTATACTGAAGCAGAGGACATTTTCGATGGAAATTATGATATATAAGAATGATATTTTTCATTCTAAATGTTAAAAAGAAGTAAGAAAGAGAACAATGGCAATGGCGACAAATCGAGTGTAATGTGCTTGGTGCAGGTGCTTCAGCCTTAAAAAAAAATGTTTGCCCTCCTCTTTGCCCCTCAATTACAAAACAAAGCTAGTTCATGTTTGGTATCTGTTCATAATACCAAATCTAATTAAGTGAAAAAGGCAGGAAGGCAGCTTAGGGAGAGAGCAGTTCTCTTTGATTGTTTCAAGAGTTTTAGGATCCTTTGTGTTGTCCTAGTTGCTTTATTTATTGAAATGATATTTTTCGTAAGTAAAGAAATAGACACGAAGCAACGTGTTCCTTGAGATTCTGAAGTTTTAGTGTCACCACAATTTACACCTTTGGTAATCCTGTTCGTAATGTTACCTCTAGCAGCAGAAGAGCACAGGACATTATTCAGGGACCAATCACTCAGTTACGAAAAGGAGAGAATTCTGTGGCAACAATACCTCGTCTTGGAAATAAGAAGAAATGAGCCGAGAACTGTCTGTGCGCATGTGGTTATTAAAGAGTAGGAGTATCATAACCCTTTTTTTTTTTTTTTTTTTTTTTTTTAATGAACTGCTTCCGACTTGCCTTTTTAGTACGAAGTGGTTTGCTCAACACCTTTTTTTTTTTTTTATTTTTTTTATTTTATTGTTATTCTAGAATTACATGGTAAAGACTATGGAGTTTATGCTTCATCCTTCCCTTGTGAGGACTGTGCCCGACCAGCGGGCGATACGATGGCTAGCTCGTTTTAAGGCGTTGCTTGCTGGGTTATGCACAATATGGTACTGAAGTTTCTTCGGATTCTTGTTGTGATCAGGACCTGTTGTCATGGCTCTGATGCTGTGTACATCTTTGGAGGGTAAATTAAGCGATCCCCTAGTACGGAGTTTTTGGCGACATTGAGATGTAAGGGTCACATTGTCTCCATCATTGTTGTCCTCATCATCACCGGTGTTATCATCTTCATCATCGTCTCTAGCTTCGAGAAGAAGTCGACTCTGACGGTAACTCTTCTTAACCTTGCTAGGAGAATCCTCGGGGTCACTGACCAGTTTAGCCTGCTTGGTCATATTATGATTATAACCTGCAATGAGCCGATGATGTGAGAGATTACTAAAAGCTCGGCGTATCCTGCGGGGAATCGGTAACACTGGCTCTTCAGCCCCTGATACTGCTGCTGTTGGCGGCTCGTGAACCTCCTGGTAGCAATATTGCCTCTCATTACGCCTGGTATTACGGTCCTCCTCGTCCTCTAATGCCAGGGGGCTTTCTGGGGACAGCAAAGAGATCTGGGCCTCTTGTCCAACAATGGGACTGGCAGGTTCAGACATAGAGACATCATTCAGCTCCTTAATATAGTCTTTATCTGTATCCACTTGCTTTTTACCATCTTGCTCAACGCTCATGGTTTTCTCGAGCATGGTTGTTGCCTTCAGTTTGAAGCAGGTCAGTCTATAAAGGACAGAGATGAACCGTTGAACGGCTTCGTCGCTGATCTGGTAATGAAGAACTACCCGAGCTGCGTAACCGCTACCGCTGATCTTGATACCTTCCTTGGCTAGCTCACCCATCAACGCATCTACTGTGAAGCCAGCGTCCGATGTATCGACCCAAACCATATTTGTCTCAACAGGGTTGGTAATACGGCAGCCGGCTTTGAGGAAGGCGCTCTCGATTTGTTTAGCCCGGCAATGTGTTTCCACCATCGTGGGCCAATTGTTCTTGATGCCCCAGAGCGCAGCTTCTGCTAGGATGCCGGCTTGTCGCCATCCGCCTCCGAAAAGCAGACGGAAGTGCCTTGCTTTCTTGATAGAAGTCTCACTACCGACCAAGATGGAGCCGATAGGAGCACCGATTCCCTTGGAGAGGCAAAGCGAGACGGTATCGAAGTGACTGCAGTACTCTTTCATTGAGATACCGGTTGCGACGCTTGCATGCCATAGCCTAGCACCGTCGAGGTGAAGTTTAATACCATGTTGCTTTGTGAGTTCACGGATCCTGATAATCTCTTCAAGGGGCATGATGGTGCCATTGAGTGTGTTTTCGAGGGAGATGACACGCGTCGGTGCGTAGTGTACATCTACATCGAGGACTAGACGTGGAGCAATATCTTCGACCGTGAGGTATTTGCCGTTGGCGGGCATGATTGGATTTACTGCAGCCTGCGAATGGAACGAGATACCGCCTGCCTCGTAATTGAAGACATGGGATCGAATATCGACTACAGCGGATTGAGGGGGGTTACACAAATGTACACGATGTGCTAATTGATTTGTCTTTAATCGTTTAATTGCAGAAAAAAAGAAAAGATGTGTGGTTTACAACGCATTAGATTCTGATGTCAAATGTGTTTTTTTTTTTTTTTTTTTTTTTTTTTTTTTAAAAAAAAAAAAAAGGCTTACCATTGTCCCTGATGAGCAAAAGAGTCCCGCCTCATGGCCCGTGAGCGTGGCAACGTATTGTTCGAGTGTTTTAACAGAGTCATCTTCGTTATATACATCGTCCCCTAAGGATGCTTTCATCATAGCCGCAAACATATCTGGCGTAGGGGCTGTTGATGTATCGCTCCTGAAGTCCGAGTATGGGAGAGGATTGAGAGATTTTGTTGTAGTCATGATAAGTTCCTATGAAGTCTTTGATGTGCTGATGATAGTCTTTATTTTATAGTATTATTGTTTTTTGTCCTCCCAAGTTTTTGCCGTTATATTTTTTTTTTTTTTTTTTTTTTTTTTTTTTGTTTGACGATATATGGACAAGGCGATATTGTTATTTACTATTAATGGGCGTTTTATTCAATAGATTGAGATGATAATGAAAGTGAAGATGGATGAACAAAAGAGAGAGAACAGGGGAGAGATTATGGAGGAGGGAAGGGGGGACGTTGATCCCCTCTTTTATACTGATAACAGTTACGATCCCCCCTGTGCCGCGTCTTTGTTTTGTAACATGCCAGCCTTTTGAAATGAATTAGGAAGTTTAGCATATCTATTTGTCAGTATTTTCTATATTCCTTTAATGCACGCTTGCCACACTCCATGTTTGGATCTTCTGGCCATACGCATGTACGAGCAAACCACGAGTCATCTTCAAAAAAACAAAAAAAAAAAAAAAAAAAAAAAGGTCAATGTTATACAAAGAATGCTAAAAATGAATAGAAAGCATGGCTTTATTTTATTCATGCTTCCCCCCTGGGATATCATGCTGCAGAACGCCAGGAAGGGGAGGACAGACATCATTGGGTGAGATAGACGGACTATCTGAAGGTCAATGCATATTTCTGTGTTGATAAATCCTGAATGTGGTGTTAGTAAAAACAGATCAAGGGGGCAAAAAAAAAAAAAAAAAAAAAAAAAAAACATTTGCAAACTGAATGTTCTGTAATGTGATTAGCGCTGAGACTACACATCAAACCATGCTTTGGTATTTTGAGGGTTCAATCAGTCTGTGGCCCACGCTCACAGATGAATCGTAGGGACCAAGCGAAAGGGTCATTCATTCCTTTTTCCATTTGCGTTGCTCTTGACATCTTCAAATCGGAAATTCGGCATTTTGTCCCCTACCATTAAATGAAAAACGCGTCGAACGTTACGCTGAATTAGGGTAAATGCTGATCATTTTAATATATTTTCTATTTTTTTTTATTTCGCACTGACGCATCCTATTTGAAGAGCGTAAAGCTTGAGGTTAAGGTTGCACAGGAGAACTGGACGGAAAAAAGAGATGAAGGTGGAAGAGAAAGGAAGGGAGTACCAGGAGACAGATGCAAGCACCCTCGACCTTGTCCTCCCCCCTTCTTTTTTTTTTTACCTGCCATCTTGCTTAACCTTGTGCATGCTTCACGCTATGTATAAAAACACAGGTAAAAAGGGAAAGAGAAGAGTGCCCTGGATTTTGGGGGTGATGCCTTACAAAAAATCAAAGAATAAGCATACCAAGCAAGATATGGTTCAGGACAAGGCAGAGACAGAAGGGGGAGAGAGAGGTGTGGAGAAGAGGAATGGAAGTTGCTGGCCCCCTTATCCCTTTTTAATCCCCCTTCTTCTCTCGGCTTCTTAGACCCAGCCCCTTCCTTAGTAGTAAACCAATAGGCAAAGAAAAGACACATACCTTCAGCTTCGGCTTCTCCATTAATAATGGTTGGCGACTAGTAGACATTCACTATAAAAAGAAAACATCGTTCTAGCCTAGCCCATGTAATTTTCTGACCTTTCTTATTCGTGCAAAAAAAAAAAAAAAAAAAAAAATGTAGAAAGCGCACGGATGGACAAACAAAGGGTGACTGACGCCCACCTCTTCATCAGATGTTCATTTCAGTTGGCCTTGAACCACAATGCTCAGCCATACTTTGAGAGATAGATGAAACTCCCTTTATCGATTCAAAAGCTCATAGGTAATAGAGCTTTTTTTTTTTTTTTTTTTTTTTTTTTCGTTTACAAAAACGCGTCGAATTGGAGCATTAGTCAGGAACGCATTGATGCTCCGATGTTCGAATAAACATGTACCTTGTCCTTAGTCTCGCACAGTTCTTGTCCTGGCCTTGAGATTTGAAATTCTACAGTTCACACCCCCTTTACTTCCTTATTCTCCAACGTCATATTTAGAAGTTGTTGAGGGAAGACAGGTAACGAACAAACAAATAGAAAGACTAAATTAATGTGTTGCGCCATTTCCTTACGCAAACACTAGACTTGTGGCCATTATTCTTTGTTTATACTGGACATGACTTGAATAGTAGAATAAAAGAAAGAAAAAGCTTCATCAAATATTTGGTTTGTTGAGATGATGTTGAGAGAAGCTGACACTCAAATCTTCTCTCTCTTTATAAACCTCCAACAATTTCACCTTCGATATCACATCAAACAAGAATAGAGTAAGAGTAATAAGACCAGTCGACGTCCTGTCTTACTCCTGCTTCTCGAACTCGGCAGGACGCTGTTTCGAGTTCCGACTGAATTTATGAGAGAAGGACGAGCCAGGGACAGGAGTAAAAATGAAAGGAGGAGTAGGGGCAGGGAGAGGCAGGGAGAGGCAGGGGCAGGGGTAGGGACGGGGACAGAGTTAAGAATAAACATACCATATCTGTAAATACTGCACCATGTTGTATATATAAAATGAAATAAAAAAAAAAAAAAAGGAGGTGCAGCAACGATGCCGAGCTGAACAGAACAACGACCAAAGCGCGCGGAAGTAAAAAAAAAAAAATGCAAGCACACAAAACACATCGTGTATAGTCATACAGAGAAAGACACTTTGCGCGTTTATGATTTCATTCTTAGTTTTATAAGAAGAATGAATAAGACCCAGAACCAGAATGTCTATTTACGCGTGGCCATGGGTCTTGGGCAGTATCTAAGTCTCACAGATGCACGTGCACCTACAAAAACGTTTCTGATATGATATGGATTCCATTTAATAGATTCAGGTAACGGTCTTTTTTTTTTTTTTTTTTTTTTTTGCTGTGTTGCGTTGTGTTGTGCTGTTGAACAAGGCTAAAAAAAAAAAAAAAAAAAGCAATTTCAATTTCACGAAAGCTTTTCCCAGACATGCTTCCTTGGCTATGATCCACAACCTCAGACTCAAGGGTAACAGCCTCGGCCTGCTCTTGCTTTACTACGCTATCTAAATCTAAACTTCTCTTTCAATCAAGAGGGATAGCAAGAGACATTTCACTCCTTGGAGAGTGATATGATGAAGGCTTTGAATGTATATTTCTAGTTTTTAAAACAAGTAGTAGAATTTTGGCGAGGGCCCAAAGAGTGAAGGAAAAGATGCATTTTATTGCTATTTGAATGTGTCCCTACAAACAGGTCTTGCAATCAAAAGGATGTGCCGTCGAATCTTCGTCATCAGGATCCACAGTCCTTGAAGAGGTTGATTTCGCTTGTTCATGTTGTTGCGCTGTCTCTGACGTTGACACCAGTGCTGGTACTGGTGCTGATGTTGTTGCTGTTACTGGTGCCACTGGCTGTGAATCTGAAGTCTGCGCAGATTTGACTGCGCTATCGCTATGTCCAAGACCCATCTCCGGTGCAATGATTCCACGCACTAACTGCTTAACTTCCTTCATCTCTGGGAACCGTCCATGATCCTTGCGATCAAACACAACCTCTATTTTACCACAAAAAGTTCATGTTTTCAAAAAAAAAAAATCAAAAATCAAAAAATCAAAAAATCATTCTGGCGGTGCACATGTAACATAGTTTAATCTACGTATGAAAAGAGTAGCTGTTTTTTTTACCTCCATTCACTCTAACGATAAAGGTTGCGCTTTTACCAGGGATCAGTGCTAGTTCTCCAATGGTGTTTCCAAACGTCAAAAGTAACTCTTGAGCCATCCATCCTGCACGAAGATGCCTATTGTGGGATTTCAAAAATAAAGAGCATGAGTGATGACTTTCATGAATGATTCAGATTAAAATGGGAAAGCCCTCTTTATTTTTATTTTTTATTTTTTATTATTATTATTATTATTTTTGTTTGCTGAAAAAAAGACAATTTGCCCGATTTCCTTTTATTGTTGCAGTTACTGATGTCGTCTGTTAATAATCCTTATCACACTTGCAGTGTCACCCAAATATGTGTATTTTCATATGGACGAACAAAGGCTCAAACCCAGTCCTTTGGGATTACCATTTACATCCTGTGCAGAATTCAATTTCAACTCGAGGAAGACGGGTTTCAATAGCCATTTTTTTTTTTTTTTTTTTTTTTTTGCGTTGTTATTGTTGATTTCTGTATTACAAAAAAAAGTCCTCGGAAGCTGGAACGCTACAGTTATACCTTGTCGTTCCAATATTTTCAGTTGTGAGTGAACGAAAGAGAAAAAAAAAAAATTGTTTATCCTTGGAGCTATCTTATTGATTATGCCAACACTTAAAGATCACGCATTTTGATCTAGTTGGTCACGTGCAGGAAAAGGGGCGCAGGATGGTTCCTATTGAGCGTTGGCTGCTCCCGTCCAGGTAAAGAAGTCTTCTCCAACATTCTTCGTCAACAGTGGAATAGGGCATCAAAGGCTCCTTTTTTTACATAGCACTCTCGTCATTTGTGTGTATTCCTATTTGGAAGTGATCAGCTTCAAAAACCATTTCAAGAGCCTTTCAAATCTCCAACAGCAGTAAAAGCGCTACTCCTGCTCAAACACGTCTCAAAATCGCAATCCTCGGACCGTTAATAGACAGTGCAGGATAGCTATGCTAATAAGTAAGGTGCCCCAGAGTAAGTTCTTTTATTTTAATTTTTTAATGCTTACTAATTGAAGCCTGTTCTTCATGATGGATCACATCTTTCGGTGCGTGCCTTGTATACGTTTAAGCACAATAGAAAGCTTTAAAGCATTTCTTTCCTCTAGAGGCGCGCCTATCTGCTACCTGGAGTAGAGGCTCACGGAAACATGGTATACAGTCATTCAGGTGCCACGCCTCATGTTGATTACATGAAGCCCCGATATTGAAAGCGTAGATTGGTGGTTCGAATATCTATGGATTCTCAGAGCTCTGGTGTGAGATGCACCTTATCCTCACGAACTCCTAATGCTTGGCTCTCCAAGGCTGGTGTGTATTCACGTGCTACTGCTACTACTGTGCAGCTGTAATTTACGCCACTTATTTCGCGATGCAGCTTCACTTTCACTAAATCTCACGCTAGACTAAACGGGACCTCTGCTCGTTCTCCTACCAAAAAAACTTTACAAGCAAGATATACCTGAATTTACACGGGGCTAAAAGTTAAGCGAGAGGTTTTTACACGGGGCTTCTCACGGCGGTTTTCCCCTAGTGAGCAAAAGGACCCTCAAAATTTCTACTAACAAAGAGGAAACTGTTAGGCCAAGATAATTCCCACAACCCATCCTGAGAGAAAAAAAAATGCTATCAAGAACCATTTGCCTTGCACTTCAGCTGCATGATGATCGTTTTTTGTGAAACAACATGCATTCATTGCGAATGTTTTGGATAATTGTCTGTACTTATGCGCAGCCATCCGTCCCCCCGCCCCACCCACCCACTTTGATGTTTGCAGAAGAGCCTTTGCTCATTAGGGTGAGATAGGATTGTTTGCCACAATTTCCCACAGCAACTCGGTCACACAGTCAATCGTCTATTCATGCAACGCCATGCCAAGAGTCGCACGAAGGTCTGAATGCGAGAAGTAGAAACTTTAAATACACTTTGAGTAGTATAAGTGTCTTCTATAACCAACGTTTGCCCATAGGCTCTGTATCATTTGCCCAGCTTTTCCCTTTCCTCTTATGACGAAGAACAAACATTGGTGTAAGAGTAAAACAAATGCATATAAAAAGGGAGAGATGCGGTTGAGGATATTCTCTTTTTATTCTTCCACAAATTACATCCACCTCTTTCTTGAAAAAATAAAAAATAAATAATAAAAATGCTCGCCATTCGCTCTAGAAAGGCTTTAGTGAGCTTATTCTTCACGGTTCTTCCCTTGGTTTCATTGGTCCTCGATCCTATAAATGCTCAGGGCACGACAACCGAGGCTATCGACAAGACAGTATTGCTGAACTTGCGTGCTGCTATCCAGAAGCTCAACACAGAAGCTGGTGTCCCTGGTATGTCCGTTGGTGTTCTTCATAAAGGCCAAGTCATCTTTGCTGAAGGGTTCGGAACACGTAACGGAAAAGATCCCTTCGAGGCCGAGGTAAGTAGATAAAAATTAAAAAAATTAATCGATTTTGGTTATGATTTATGACTTTTTTTTTAAACATGTTCTTTATTTTATCATCTTTTTTTTTTTTTTTTTTCCTTCTAGACATTGTCTCCCATTGGGTCGCTTACGAAATCATTCACTGCTGCTGCCATCGGTGAGGTAGTTGCGGAAGGAAAGATGGATTGGGATACCACACCTGTGTCAAAGTACCTTCCTGAATTTGAATTAAGTGATCCTACTCTCACCTCAGAGCTCACTTTGGTTGATTTGCTATCTCATCGAACTGTAAGCATGAAAAATAAGAAGAGTGTGCCTGATATCTAAAGATGACAATGAAAAGAAACATGGCAAAAAGAAAAAGACATAAACATAACACAAATATTTAAAATTGTGACATATTTTCCTTCAGGGTCTACCCAGACATGATTGGGCCTGGTTCATGGCCAATACCACCACTCTTGAGTTGATCAAGAATGTCAAACATGTCCATATCAACCGTAAATTAAAGTCAAAGATGGTTTACAACAACTTCATGTATGGCGTCGCTGGTGAGGCTTCTTCCAGGGTAGCAGGAACCACTTGGGAGAAACTGGTGGATAACAAGATCGTCCAGCGAATGGGCCTCAAGAACACTGGGTATAACCAGATGCAAATGAAGAGGCGTTCCGACAACCATGCAGTTCCCATGATCGCAGCCTCATTTGAAGATGCAGTGCAACGTCGATTTGTACCAGCTGAACTGGACCAAGTGGGTATACCGCTAGCGGCAGCAGGTGACATGTTCTCCAATGTGTTCGATATGATGAAGTGGGGTCAGACGATTATGAACAATGGGGAGCTGGATGGGAAGCAGATCTTGAATAAGGAAAGTGTTCAAGAGCTGCTGACAGCTCGTACGGTTGCTAAAGGAACCAGAAGCCCCCCTGCCTCTGGCCAAGGGCCGGCCTTGATGTATGGCATGGGTTGGCTTATTGGCAGTTACAAGGGCAAAAACTTCGTCAGCCATGGTAAAAATCTATATCACACCCATCTTCACAAAATGTGCTTTAAACCCAAAAAAAAAAAAAAAAAAAAAAAAAAAAACGACTTATTAAAATTGTGAACATTTTTCTGTTTCTTTTCGTATTTTGTTTCTCTATTAACAGGTGGTGACTACATGGACTTTTCCTCACAACTTTTCATATTCCCGGATGATGACTTGGTGGTCGCATTATTGCAGAATTCTTTTTACTCGCCCCTTTTAGAAAAAGTTGCATACCACATTGCGGATGAAATTCTTGGCCTCCCCAAGACAATGGACTGGTTGGCTGAATATGCCAATACTAGGAAGCAAGTGTTTGAATTCGTGGCGAGTCGAAATCGAGGTGAGGGTCTTCCGCCTCAAGTGAAGAACAAAGGGCCCTCTCATGATATAACTGATTATGTAGGTCAGTACAACCATCCTCTTTATGGCGATTTCAATGTCCGTTTGAACGACCATTCAGATGGGCAGCAAGAGTCAACCTCCTCCCTCCATTTGCAATATCATCTGGCTGAGAGTAAACTGGAACATTACCATTACGACACTTTCAAGGCATCCTTCCAAGACAGTGGAGCGACAGTATTCGTTCTATTGAACTATGAACATGATGAAACTGGAAAAATCACAGGAATCCAAACCAATTTTTCGGACGGAAACATCCTGTTCAAAAAAGTAGAGCAGCCAGTCCACCAAAAAAAGGAGCTTGAAGCGCTTTCCGAATTACACCTTAATCAACAGTTCTAAAAAAATAAAAATAAAACAAGATTATCCAGCCTGGCTGTTGAACATACAAAATAAAATAGCGACTTTCAATGCTTCATAGGCAATTATGGCCATTATGGTATGAACGACCATTATTTTTTTTGACACAAATAAAAAGAGATCATTTATTTACACTCATGTCAAGATACAAGGGTATATACGACAAACATTTTGTTCACTATTTCAAATAAATATTACTCCGTGAGGAGTAGAGGTAGATGGTGAAAAATGTCATTTCTGTTGTCTTTTTTTTCTGTCTTGGCTCATTTACAGGATACTACAACGCTCAACTTTAGGGTGATTGGAGTTTGACATTTCACCCCATAGAGCGGACACCAGTTCTTGTCTGCAAATGATGAAATGAAAAAAAAAAAAAAAAAAAAAAAAAAAAAAAAAAAGACAGTTGGATTAGGATAGGGAAAAAAAAAAAAAAAAAAAAAAAAAAAAAGCAATGTGTTGCGAACGAAAAAAGAAAAAGTAGACAGCCGTTTACTTACCGACGTTCGAGAGATGCCTGGCTATAAACAAGCTCAGTGGACTTTTCTCTGAGGTGTGCAGGCGGTAATGCTGAAGCAGGCATTTTGGATAAGTTTACAGCATCATGGCCAGGGACTTGAGGAATAGATTTGAGGAAGGGACTTGCCTCAGCAACAGCACTGGTGACAGACAAAGGCTTGAACTTTTGTTGTACCTTCTGCGACTTGTGTCTCTTCTGGTGATGGGGACTTTGGACAGCCCAGTCTACGACGAGCCCAAGCTGGAAATCTCCAGCGATAGTGCTTTGAAAGAGATTGACCATTTTTGGAATGATGATTGTTCAACTTTGACTTTTCTTTGTTGCTATAGTTGGAAAGGTTGAATGCGGTTGGAGAAAAGAATTGAAGGTTGAAAGACCTTCCTTTTATAAACATTTCTTTTTCTTTTTCTTTTTCCCAACCTTCTTAAAGCAAGAAATGAAGGCGGAAGGAAGCGTGGTATGGGCGTACAATGCCAATGCATTCAACTTTATGCATACATCTGTAGTGTTCCAACGGAGCCCTGTGGTTAATGCACTTACACTACAAGTAGGCATGATCTTTTCCTTCGTATTTAGTCGTGCTGCCTCTTTCTTCCTTTGTTGGCATACAGTAATATTCATGACTATGCTTTATTGTCTTGGAAGGCTCACACCCTTCTCTCTCTCTCTTTTTGCTTCTTCATTTCCTTTCTTCCTTTGTATCTATCTATCTCCCTCTCCTTCTCCATCTGTTTTGTCAAAACATCTCCATCTTTTTTCGTACTTTCCCCACCTTCTTTCTCTCTCTCTCTCTCTCTTTTTTTTTTTTTTTTTTTTTTTTTTTGCACCAGCCTCTGACCATGGGATCAATCAAGATTATTGATAGATAAACGCAGAAGAACAGGAGACAGAAGGAGAGGTTAGGGTGGATCATTTGCCCATATAGATATCAAGAAAAAAGAGGGAAAGCGCGTGCGTGCGCGAAAGGACAGGAAGGGGTGCCTTTGTTGACTACACTGGATATCTATGCAGTTTAATTGTTTCGAGGCGAGAAGGATCAAATAATGCGTGTGGGCGGGAGCCCCAACTGAGATTGTCTTAGTTTTGGCTTTTTTTGTTTTGCCACTAATTGAATGTAGCCTCACAACGACAAAGGGGAACGCACAGAGCCTCATGCACCCCCGCCTTCTGTGTCAAAATAATTCTTTCATGTCCTTATTCATCAAACAAACAATGCACTGATAGCCATGCTATGCATGTTGAATGTTGTACTTTTCCAAATGGCTGACCATAACATAAGACGATTCTCCACAACTTCATGCATTCCTTTATTTGATCTTCAAAAAAGACAAGAAAAACCCATCTAGGTGTCCCATCTAAAATGATCAACAAATTCGTCTTCTAATTGTTTCACTAACTATCAGCACAAAGAGAAAACTGTGTGAGGGTTAAGGTGAAGAGGGTTAAAAAAAAATAAAAAAAAATGAAGACGAAATATTTTCCACAAGGCACGAACCTTGAGATATTCGAGAGTATTGATCAATACTTCTGTATAAAGGGAAAAGAGCATACAAGTGTGCAAGCACATGGGCTTGCCAAAGCCGACGTCGGAGTATTCACGCCTTGAATGAATTTGGTGTTGCGAGTTATAAATTTATTATCTCTGTTTCGAGCCAATATCACTATTTGTTTTGTTCAGGAGCTTTCTCTTTGGTAACCAGCTGGGTGCGATTGTAGTATCCTAGCTACTTTTGACGGAAAGAGAGAGAGAAAGATCTACGCCTTGATTGTTTTATTAGATGGTTGACTTTGTCAGAGGAATCAAAGTTGTTCCGTGAGGAAAAAGTTCAGCTGTAGATCGTTGTTGTGTAATTGTAACAACCTGATGATATTCTATGCGTGTTTACTCCTTCACTCATCAACCGTGAGATGTGTTCATGCTATCCGAGCTTTTCAAGTTATTCGAGGTTTGTAGTAGTTACAAGTAAAATAGTGGCAGCGTTCGAAGCGAAGGTCACATATATTAAACTGGTTGCTATTAGTATTGATACTACTGTTGCTGCTGCTGTTGCTATTGCTGCTGGTGTTGTTGCTGATGTTATGAACGGTGTCATCCCAGTTTACAAATGGAGAGACCTTTAGCAATCTTTATTATTACTAGTTTTATTACTCAAAAGCTAGAGCTTTTGTTGACCAGTTCAATGTTGAAGAATGTAAAAAAAAAAAAAATTGCCGAGCTGATCCCCCCTTTTATCGGCCAAATCCCTTACTGCTCCCCTTTGGGCAAGGAGATTTTTTTTTTTTTTTGTCTCTTCATCACCAGGAAATAAACTACACTTTAGTTCTGATGCATTCCCCATCCCCTTTGGAGCTCCTTAACATCTTGCATTCTTTTTTTTTTTTTTATTCATTTACATTTTTAACTTTCTTTGCAATTCGGATAATATGACAAATTTAAGCTTTTACAGATACGACGAAGGGGGGAGGGAGGAAGAGCGAGGGGTCAAGATTATAAATGTCTACATGTATCCTTATTTGACAGCCTTTGATCATAGAGAATATATTACTCCAAACAAACAAACAAAAAAAGAAAAAAAGCAAAAAAGAAAAAAAAGACCCTAGGTAGGGTTGTAGAGTTGAGTATGCAGTTATTTTGGTTTGACTATATGGGTTGGTGGTGTTGATCAATTCCATCCTCGGATCGTATAAAGTAAAGTATCGGAGTCAATGAAGTCTTTCGGCGCTTCGGCGCAGAGAGGAAAGAGTAAAGACCAAAAGGGCCAAAAAAGTCATTTGCTTTGAGGGTCTTTGTGGCTTTGCTAGTAGGTCTAGTGCACTAGTGCACTGCCACCGATGGAACATTTTTTTTTATTGCTCTGATGTAAAATATGATTCTTGTGCAACCACAATTAAAGAGTGCCCCTCACTCCACGGATGTTTCGATCACGGTCAATTGTCCAGCTGACAAAATGAAACAGGTCTGTGATCAATTAGGAGGAGACATGGTCGACAAAAAAAAGGGGTATTGCAGAGGGAAACAGCATGAACAGAACAAATATGCACCTCAAGGCGAAGGGTGAAAAGAAAGAAGAAAAAAAGAAAGGAAGAAAGAAAAAAAGAAAGAAAGAAAGAAAGAGAAAAGAAGGTATTTTTTTTTTTTTTTTTCTCTCTCTTTCTTTCTTCAGTGGTCGCTTCCTTTTTTTTTTTTTTTTTTTTTTGTTTTTTTTGTTAGACTAGGCTGTAGGATGATGTATTGAGTGGCGGTGGGCCTTTTCGATTACTAAAACCTTTTTACAGTTCATAACCATGTCCGACAATTGACTGGGTGTGAATAGAATCAGAAATTAGATCAGGCAGCATTAATATCACTAATATGCATTATAAATATAATTGCGAAAAGCTTTTTTTTTTTTTTTTTTTTTTTTTTTTTTTTCCTTGCATGCTTGACACTGCTTGTAAATATGAAAATAATAAATTTATGATCGACAACAGTCGACATCCTCCAAGGTCAGCAGTGCATTCTATTATTTGTATCACCGCCACACAAAAGAAAAAAAAAAAAAAAAAAAGAAAAGAAAAAAAGACAACAATGCTTTTGACGGGACATTGGTATCTCCGTTGAGGGCATTGTTAGCATTGGAATAAAGAGAATAAAGAGGAAGAAGAGCTCATTATTTTCTTTGTTTATTTTCTTAGGTGCATTTTCAAGTCAAAAAAAAAAAAAAAAAAAAAGAAAAAAAAAAGAGAGCATTTGATAGATGTCTATGCAGTGAATGGTAAAGAACCCATGTAAAGTAAGAATATGGATGGAGTGGAGTGGAATGATATTGATGCCAGCTTATCGAGCATATCGAAATCCAAAAGAGCGACAGGACAGACATAATAATAAAATAAAAAAATGAAAGAGCCCTGCGCTTCAGCACCGATAGAATTAAAAAGAAAAGAGAGAGTCAATTGTCCAACCACAAGCTTCTATTTATTTTTTTATTCATTCATTTATTTATTTATTTATTTAAAAGAGAGAGAGAGAGAGTAAGAGAGAGGAAAAGAACGGGATGGTGTAGTATATATAAATGTACCAAAGTATGGCAGACACAAATGGACGTCTGCGATGGGGGCAACGGTTTACCTGATCACATACACATCAACAGATGGACATGTGTATAATTAGAGCCAATTGAGGTTGTCCAGTGGGCGAACTGGTTCCCAGTTTAATTCAGAGTTCTGTTTATTTGTTTTATTTATGATTATGCATTCAAATCTCTCTCTCTCTCTCTCTCAATCTCTCTCACTCTCTCTTGTCTTATTTTTACTTTTTTATTTTTTATTTTTTATTTTTTTTATTTATTTTCCTTCCATCCTCTCATCCTCTTTTTTTTTATTCTTTGACATTCAAATTCCACGCGAGTGTACATTGTCCCATTCACTTGCTTGAACAAAACCAAAAAGATCCATTCTCCATTCACTTTATTTTGTTCTTTTTCCCATCCCATTCATCCAGTTCTCTCTCCCCCTCCTTCCCCCCCTCCCCTCCCCTCCCCTCCTCTTTCATTTAACCTCATTTCCATTGCATATTCACATCTTTCCTCTCCTCCTCTTCTCTCTTTCCATCCTTTCCATCAAACCTTCTCCCATCTGAACCATGGTCGACACAGCACATGCTGTTGCCGACCCTCCTTTACATATGAATACCAACGCTGTACACCCTCATCAACCTTCCCCACAACCTCCATCCAACGGCTTTTATCAGGACCTTCCCCTTTACGATGAACATGAAAATAAAGGTAGTAATAATCCCTCTAGTCGTGTCTTCTACTCTGTCCCGATCAAATCTTCCTTCGAGCATCCATCCTCTGTACAGCAGTCTCAACAAAAACCTCAGCAAAACCCAATGCCTTCCCCTTCTCCATCCCCTTCTCCATCTCCCTCTCCTTCCTCTACCACTCTCCAACCACAACAAAAATCCCTTCCAACATGGCCCTCAGGAAACGTCGCTCGATTTCAAGGCTATCAATCCTCTCCTGTTGCCCCAGAGCAGCGTCAGCAGAGGTTTCATCCATTGACTAAAAGTGCAATAATCCCTACGACTACTGTCTTGCCTTCACCTTCAAATCATACTCCGATGACTCCGCCAAGGAAATCTTCGCTTTCTCCCAAGAGCCATGACTCGCATCTGTCCTCCTTGCCCTTACCCTCGTCTCTTTACCAACAACTTCAACAACAACAACAGCAGCCTCACTCGCCACCACCCTCTCCTCCCCGTCTCAGCATTAATGGACTGCCTGAGCAGAAGCAAGCTCGCAAGGATACGAATAATGCTTTTGCAGATGGCTACGCTCTTCAACAGCAGAAATCCTGGCCATCTGCATTTGTCCTTGAACCTTCACCTACGCTCAGCGCTACGGATTCTCTTCCAGGGTCGGTCTCCAAACCAACCTCGGTCTCCACTCAAGCCTCGTCTGTTTCTCCAATGGCACAGCCTTCAAAGCTAACGCCGATTGAGCTTGCATTAGCTGCCCTTTCTTCTTCAAATCCCCCTAGACCCTCTACTTCAACTATCTCTTCCTCCACCAGCACAAGTCGACCTCGACCTTCTAGCTATTCTCCTACAAAAGTCACAGATGTATCATCTACCCTCGCCAACATGACCACGTTAGCCACACTGCCCATACCCCCCGCATCCTCTACTGCGCCTATGATCCCAAAGGCTTCAGATGGACTCGAGGCTTTCTACGCCGACGATCAACGCGCAGAGCAGCAGCGCCTACAGCCCAGATCCTCAGCCCCAGATGCTCAACCTTCGCCCACACCTTCTCAACGACCTAATATGAGTATATTGACCTCTGTCAGCACAACACCAGGTGCTGCCGGCGCTGGTGGCGGGTACCAGAATAGCTCCAGACCACAAACCACAGGATCATTTTCCCCACCTGCGAGAGCTTCCACTATGAATCATCGTAAAAACTCTGGATCCAGTCTCATAGTCGACTCCCCTACATCACCCGCACTGGCTAAACAGCAACAACAGCCGGTTGAACCCCAAGGTGAAAGCTCAAGTAGAGCGCGTAGAAAACAAATCTATCGTCGTAATACATATTCTGCGGACCTTGCAAACACTTCTTTCCATCGATCCGATGACGAGATGGATGCGGAGGAGCTAGAGGATGCACGTCGCCGGATGGATGCACTCAAGAAGAGCAGTAGTCGACGTCTGTCGAAGCGGAAAAAAGATGACGATAATGACCGAGTTCTCATTGGTACCCGTATTGGTGAAGATCATGTTAACTATGTACTCATGTACAATATGTTGACGGGTATCCGAGTGAGCGTAAGTATTAATTTTTATTTGATTAAAAAAAAAAAAAAAAAAAAAGTAAAAGAGCTAATTTCATTTTGATGGTTTGTTTGGTTGTTCTCCCACAGGTTTCACGGTGTCAGGCAAAGGTTCAACGGCCTCTGGTGGACGAGGATTTTACTTCAGCACACAAGTTGGCATTTGACATGTAAGAATATGAAAAAAGTTGCTACGCGCTTTATCATTTAGCTTTCCTCATTTTTTTTTTTTTTTTCTTCTTCTTCTCATACTGACAATTATCATTCTATGAAATATTATAGTACTGGTAACGAATTGACGCCGTCCTCCAAATATGACTTCAAATTTAAGGATTATGCTCCTTGGGTTTTCCGTAATTTGCGAGAGGACTTTCATATCGATGCCTCTGACTATCTGGTAAGACTTTACACATTTTTATTTCCTATGAAACTGGGAGTTAAAAGGAGCAAGCTTTCCCTGGAGAATATATCGGAAGCATTTTTTTTAAAAAAAAAAAAAAAAAAAAAAAAAAAAAAAGTATCCATGCGAAATAAAGTGGTTTGCTTTTTTTTTTTTTTTTTTTTTTTTTTTTGGAGCCCGAAAGTTGGACTCGATTTTGAACATGGAAGACAAAAGGGAAGAGAGAAGGCTTGGAGAACTAGCCTACTCTTGATATTAATGCCATGTTTATGGACAGAGCCACATTGCAGACGCTTTTACTGAATGGTGTTCTCAAGGATTTAGGGGTTTACAAGGGTGGTCATGGGCGTGATGGGCTGTGGGAGGAAAGGTATCATCATCCTATTTCTGCCATATTTCATTTTAATGTCCTTTGTAAAGGAAGGGCTGTCGCGGATGAAAATAAGGGAACATTAGATTGGCAGTCCATGAGTGAATCCAAGAGAGAGCCTTTTCATTCACTCGTCACTACATCAGTTGAGACACCACATTAGAGTTAGTGTTCAATCTTGCATCTAACATAAATTTCTTTTTTCTATTTATTTTAATTCGCTTTGGTTGTCTACGGCTTACCTTATCCAACCTTGATATGTACCTTCCTACTTTATACGCCTTGACAAACGTGACATAAAGGTTTCTTTGACCAGCAAGTACATCCTCTCAGAGTTGGGATCCCCAGGAAAGAGCGGCAGTTTCTTTTACTTTTCTCAGGACTACCGCTTTATCATCAAGACTATCCATCATGCTGAACACAAGTTTATGCGCAAGATTCTCAAGGACTACTTTAATGTAAGTGTTTCGAAGCCTTTTATTTATTTTTTTAAGTACAAGTATCTCTTCTTGCGTACCTAATAGCCCCTCCTTTGTTTCAAATCAATCAACTTAGCATGTCAAACAAAATCCACACACTCTTTTGTGTCGATTCTTTGGCTTGCATCGTGTAAAGCTTCCTCATGGGCGCAAAATTCACTTTGTGGTCATGGGTAATGTCTTCCCGCCCAACAGAGATATCCACGAGACATACGACTTGAAGGGTTCGACTTTAGGACGAGCCATCAGTGATGAGGAACTCAACAACAATCCTCGTGCAACCCAAAAGGACCTTAACTGGGTCAACCGTAATCGTAAACTGGAATTGGGGCCAGAGAAGCGACACTTGTTTGTAGAACAAATGAAACGGGACGTGGAGTTGTTAGCCAGGCTTAATATTATGGACTATAGTTTGTTGATTGGTATCCATGATATCGAGCGTGGTAATAAGGACAATATCCGAGACAATACCCTGAAAGTTTTCCATCCGGATACGACCAAGAAGTTGGCTCGGGAGCCTTCACGGAGAGATAAACGGGAGAGTAAAGTTAATGCTTTGAGGATGGCAGTCAAAGAGTCAGACCCAGTGGCCATTGGACCATCAGCATTGCCGTCGAATGCTTTCTCAGAACGAAGTCATTGTATATTTTATGCGGATGATGGAGGATTGTTATCAACCAACGAACAGAACGAACGAGGTGAAGATCTATATTACCTTGGTGTCATTGACATTTTGACGCCTTACAATTATGTCAAGAAGGTTGAGCATTATTGGAAGAGTCTGAGCCAGGATAAGGTAAAAAGACTTGACGTATCTTGTCAATTATAATTCTATGAATGAAATGTTTAAAGTTTAATCTAATCGATTTTTTATATAAATATATACTTTTTATAGCACCAAATATCAGCTGTTAATCCCAAGGAATATGCTCAGCGCTTCTTGAGCTTCATGATCCACGCAATCAAGGTTAACGACGATGTAATGCCTGTCCTCGAGCGGAATGCTCATCCTCATTCAGAATAACTGCGACGCCGACAACAATAACAAACACACACAAAAGAAATAGAAGGCGTTGTCGAACTTTATCATTCATTTACCAAATCCAAGGATGGCTTTGAGAAAAGGAAGCATGCTTGAAAGCAGGGGGCAAGGTTGCCTAATGCAACTTGGGAACAAAAAATGGATGGGACACGACATTGGCAGAAAACCTTACAAGATGACTGAGTACGCCCTTACAATTGCAAAACTACGCCTGCAAAAAAACGACTATAACAAACAACAAAAGATCAAGACGCACATTTTATTATGAAGCTCAAGGAAATGGGTCCAAATGAAAAAAAAAAAAAAAAAAAACCCCCCATTGATTATGACTACAAGCCCCCAAGCAAGCAAAAACACTGAAAAAAAGAGAATCCTTTTTTCCTTTTTTTATTTTAACGACCCTACCGTACTCTTGTCATCGTTTCATGTTCTGAGGTTGTTCATATTGTCACCTTTTTCTCCTCTTTTTCTTTTTCTTTTTCACGACTGCATTCTTCTGGATCCCTTCTTATGTATTTTTCCTCTTTTTCCTTTTCTTGTGATGATATATCTCCTCCACTTCCAACTTTTCCATATTTAACTTTTTCATTTTAGACTAGATTGTAAAGCATTTTCACATAAAAAAAAACGATTCATATCACGTGATCTATGTTCTTAAAAATGGATAAAAACCGTCTTTTCAGTTTGTTCACTTCTGCCAATTCACAAAGCTCCAAGACTTTAGTTTCTTCTATTTAATTACAAGCAAGCAAATCAACAATGCCAAAGATTAGATCAAGCAGGACAAAACGTCCACCAGAGGGTTTTGATGAGATTGAGCCAACACTTTTGGAATTCCAGCAAAAAATGAAAGATGGCAAGTGAGATGGCACAACAAACTTCAGCAAACAAAAAAAAAAAAAAAAAAAAAAAAGAAAGGAAAAGAAAGGAAAAGAGCAAACAGGCAACATTGTTATTACAACTTTTTATTAATGCTGTAATATTCCCTCAATGTCTTTTTTTTTTTTTTTTTTTTTTTTTCTTTCCTCTTTATTTACTCTCTACAATATCTGGTTTAACAGCTGAGAATGACCCACATGAAGGCAAGAGAAAGATAGAGGCATTATGGCCGATTTTTCGACTTCATCATCAACGATCTAGATATGTGTATGAATTATTTTATAAACGCAAGGCGATTTCAAAGGAGCTGTACGAATATTTGTTAAAGCAAGGATATGCAGATGGAAACTTGATTGCTAAGTGGAAGAAGGTATGTTGCTACCACCATTACTAATACTGAAAAAAAAAAAAAAAAAAAAAAAAAAAGCTTGATTTGATGTGATCCTATCTGGCATTGACTAGATGCACATTTTAATACGATATTCGACATTTATATTCTGTTTCTCTAACCAAATTCCTTTACTTTTCTTTTTTTTTTATTTTTATTTTTATTTTGGGCGGGGGATTTTAGGCCGGATATGAGAAAGTATGTTGTTTGAGATGTATTCAGCCCAAGGATACCAATTTCGGGACGACATGTGTATGCAGAGTTCCAAAAGATAAACTTGAGGATGGCAAAGTAATCGAGTGTATACATTGTGGATGTAGAGGATGTTCCAGTGGAAGTGGCGCAGGATCTGCAGGAAAGAAAGACGGACCATCAGCATTGCAAAACTAGAGAAACAAAAGAAAAAAAGTATAAAGAAAGGCTTGAGAGAGAGAGAGAGAAAAGGCATATTAAACTCTAGAAAAAAAAAAAAAAAAAAAAAAAACCAAAAGACTCCACAAGCTTTCTTCTTTCTTTCCTTCAATCACTCTACACACACATTTACTAAATCCTTCCACAAAAAAAAAAAAAAAAAAAAAAAAAAAAAATATAATAAAATATAATAAAATATTGTATATACTTTTTAATACTTTCTATTACGATTTAGTAATGATAAGCAGATATGTTATGCTATGTCATTCCGGAAGAGTCGTTATAATACATAGAGGATATGCACTATTTTGACAACAAGGTAACCACTATTTTAGCACGTCTCAAGTCGCCATATTTTCCAAATCGTCAATAGAGGATGCGTACTGGGCTCCAAGGGATGCGGGAGTATATCGTCTTCCATTCTCGGGATTACCATGAGATGAATCCGGATGAGTCTATATTTTCAGCAAGACAATGCGAAGCTGCACATATGCTGGCAAAAGATCAAAGGTGGCCCAAAAGTCTGATACGACTAATGGCATGGTCGTCAAACTCTCCCTGTATCAAGCATTGAACCATAGTGAAGAGTAACTAATGAAAATTACAGCGAAAGAAATTTGCAAAGAGTACTAGAATAATGTTCGACAACACCAAAACGCTTTAGAATAAGATCACCATCTTCCTCAGCCTCAGACTTGCCTAACTTATCTTGATATACATCCTTACAAAATATTGTCCAGCTCTACAATCCCGCTCAAATACAAGCAACCGGGGTTTCTTAGTTGTTGTGCACCTTATTCAGATCATTAGAATTGCTCTACTGTCCTTGGAGGTGGACGCGAGGTAGTCGTACTGATCTTATGAAAGTACTCACCAACTTCAAAGGATGGTTCGGATTGACGAACCACAAAGCCCAACCCTGGTGAATGCCCCTCGCATTTCAAGGAATGTGACGGCTTTTTTTTTTTTTTTTTTTTTTTTTTTTTCCGTGCCAAAGACGAATGTCCTCGTGTCCATTTTTTTTTCTTTTCCTTTCCAAAATCTCCCAAATCTCCAAATGACCATGTCGAAGCAATATGTATTATTACCACCTTAAACTAGACCTCTACACAGACACAAATCCTTTACCAGAACAAAACAGTAGCAACAGCAGCAACAACACGCTTGAGTCTATACAGCCTCCATCGCAACCTAAATTGCGGCAACAGCAACAGCAACAGCAACAACTACACCAACATAGGCCAAGTGAAAAGCAAAAGCAAAAGCAAAAACAGGAGCAAATTCAGGAACAAGAACAAGGACAAGGAAAGCTGACCCAGCCCAACATAATTGCACAGGCCGCTCGTTTCAGAGACATACTCAAGCCCTTCCCACAATTGAAGGCGAAACAGCAGCAACAGTCTGATCATATTAAAAAAAGTGTCTTTGAAAAGACGGTTTCTACCATTAGCAGTAGCAGTAGCAGTAGCAGTAGCAGTGCCGATAATAACAAGAACGCCAATAGCGGTGGTGACGACATCAACAGTAGCGTAACTCTCAATCGACCATTAGATTACCGGTTTGGCCCTATCCGGATTTCATATTTAGACCAGTCCGACAGCTCGACAATACCTACTGCTACCAAGGAGAAGACAGGCACAGGCACTTCCCCTAGGAATCGGGTTTCAAAGAGTAATAGCAAGAAGATGGGTGCTTCGTCATCACCATCCTCATTATCAGCAGCAGCGGCAGCGTCAGGGGGAGGAAAGGGAACAGGTGCTAGGTTCCAAGAAATAGAGCCAGCTCAAGGGATCCTGCGTCTGTTCAAGGACACGAATGAGATCACGACTGGACAGATTCTTATTCAATCTGGAGCAGATCGGCAGACAGAGAATGGAGAAGAAGAGGTAGCCAAAGAATCTACATCCACGTCATCTGCAAAGACAACAGCAACAGAAGAATCTACAACATCAAGTGAGTGTGATCGTGATTTTGAGGGAGCCCAGATAATCCATCCTGATCATGGAACGTGCGTCTGTGTGCTTGCAGTACCAAGCTACATGTCACCGGGTGACTTCTTGAATTTTGTGGGTCCTGTCCGAGCAGATGTCTCTCATTTCCGAATCATACGAGATTTAGCTCCTAATCGGTTCATGGTGCTTATGAAGTTTAGGACCAGAGAGACTACCTCCCAGTTCTATCAACGATACAATGGCAAGGCATTTAGTTCGCTTGAGGTAAACAAAGATTTCTTCTTTTCTTTATCCTTCACCTCCCATTTTGCAGGGATCAACATCGTCTAGAAAAGCAAAAAGCAAACATGTGAATTGACTTTTTTTATTTTTTTTTTTTATTTTTTTTTTTCCCCCTCCCTTTCCTGCTAGCCAGAGATTTGTCATGTGGTCTATCTCAAATCCATTGAGATCCGACCGATGTCAATGCCTCCATATGCGTTCCCTTTCCTCAACGATGATCCGTTCTTACAGAACAACCATCCTACATCACCAACTTCAGCAGCCACATCGACATTATTACCATCATCATCATCATCATCAGAAGCGTTGACAGCATCTTTAACAACGGCTGATATTACACGATCAGATTTGGGATCAGATATACAGACGCCATCAGCAGCTCAAGATCAAACTCAATATCAAACATCCTCTAATTCAATTGACGCTACAGGACTAACTGAGCTTCCAACGTGTCCAGTCTGTCTGGAACGTATGGATTCATCTGTCACAGGATTGTTGACCATCCTATGTCAACATACATTTCACTGCCATTGTCTTAGCAAATGGAACGAGGGTAGCTGTCCGGTCTGTCGATATAGTGCAAAGGGCATCAAGAAGCCTGCTATTGGACCGACAGCAGGTACAGATGGAGTATCAGAGGAACAGAATGTATGCGCTATCTGCGGGACGAGTGAAAATCTATGGATTTGTCTGGTCTGTGGACACATTGGATGTGGACGATATCAAGAGAAGCATGCGTACCATCATTATTATGAAACGGCACATTTGTATGCATTGGAGTTGGAGACACAGCGCGTATGGGATTATGCAGGCGATGGGTATGTGCATCGGCTGATCCAGAACAAGGCAGACGGTAAATTGGTCGAATTGCCAAGTGCGGCGGTGGTGAGTGTGGATGGAGGAATACGGTCTCAACATGGTGGAGGAGGGGACGGTGGTAGGGGTGGTGGTGATGTAGGTCAGGAGATTGGGCAAGAAAAGTTGGATGCGATCGGATTAGAGTACACATACTTATTGACGTCTCAGTTGGAATCACAACGGCTCTATTTTGATGCACAGATTGCAGCGATGACCACACAGCTGACACAGCTGGATAAGGAAGCAAAAGAATGGGAGAAGGAGGCAATTTTGTTGGACCAAAAGAATCGAGAATTGACAATGATTGCAGAATCGTTGGAGAAGGAGAAAATACCGATGTTGTTGAAGGAGAAGCGAGCTGCGGAGAAGCGATTAGAGAAATTACAAGAGAAGTTACAGATATTGGAACGACAGTATGAGGAAGAAAAGGAGATGAATGTAGGGTTGAGGACGAACCAAGAGAGTTTTAAAGCAAAGTTGCAGGCCAAAGAAGCAGAGATCCAAGAATTGGAGGAACAAGTAAGGGATATGATGATCTATTTGGACACACAACAAAAAATAGAAGCGAGTCCGATGAAGGATGAGCTGGTCAATGGGACCATTGAGGTAGCGACAGCGCCGGCTCCTCATAATAATAGTAGTAGTCATGGCGCCAATGGATCATCGACGTCTTTATCTTCAGCCAATCATTCTCGACGGAAAGGCGGCCGTCGATAATTTTAAGCTAATTTTTTGTTCTTTTTTTTTTTTTTTTTTTTTTTTTTTTTGATATTTTACAATGTCTAATTTTTATTTTACATAAAAAAAAATGCGAATGTTGATAATTTTTCTAACTGTCTAATATATACATAAGTATGTGTAGAAGGTGAATGGGAAGAGAGGGAAATGCATATGCGGAAAGTTTTTTTTTTTTTTTTTTTTTTTTTAAAGATCAGATTTGATCGTCTTGGCTGGGATCTTGAATAATCTCGAGGTGATGCTCGCTTTCGGAGTGATAGGTGTTGGCAGAGGAACGAGAAGAAGAACGAGAATGAGAGGGGGTTCCAGTAGGAACCATCATCATTGTTGTTGTTGCTGTTGTGGCATTGATGCCCTTCATCAATTTCCGACTGATACGTCTGCTCAGAGATTCCTTTTCATTAGCGGAACCTTCTTCTAGGCCAATCAAAGTGGATGTAGAGCTGATATTACTACTGTCACTGTCACTTCGCTTTCGGTTCTGGTTTTGGTTCTGGATCCGTTGGATGGATGGGTGTTTCTCATTGTAAGGGTTGTCTAGGTTCATTTGAATTGTGACACTCTGGTTATTATTGTCCTCCAACATGGTTCCCTGTTGTTGCTCTTGTTCTTGTTGTTGTTGTTGTTGTTGTTGCTGTTGCTGTTGCTGTTGCTGTTGCTGTTGCTTTTGATGTGGTTGAGGTAGAAGCCAGTACTTGAATTTATGAAGCGAGAACATAAAGAAGAAGGCACAAACAATGACGACACCGACACCCAGGTAGAGGGCAACCCAGATAGGGCCGATGGAAGTATCCAAGAAAGGGTATAGCCAGAAGCCATTGACGGAATAGACAACATGAGCTTCAGCGAGGTAGAGGAGACAGATGAAGAGGACGATGATGATATGGGAGGGGATGATGGGCATGGCATTGAAGAAGAACTCGATCATGACAATGATCAGGTCACCACCATGGAAGGAGTAATTGCGCCAGAGAGAATCGGGAGAGACTCCGATGGCCATCAGACGAGCGTCTCCGGCATAGGCAAGGTAAGCCCAGTACAATAATGGAACAACAACACTATAAAAATAAAAATAAAAAATAAAAATAAAATAAAAAAGCAAACAAATGTTTAATTAGTATGAATGATTTGATACATGATTTTAAAAAAAAAAAAAAAAAAAAAATGTTTCAGTGGATATGGTATGAATTGAGGGGTATTGGAGCATTAATTTAATTTAATTTTTTTTGCTTGAACCACTTTCTGTTGGAACAACAAAGAGTCTTCTGTGCTCTGTGCTTGTGTGTTTGTTATGTTTGTTGTGTTTGTTGTGTTTGTGTATGGAAGATAGAGCGCACGAAGGTGAGGAAAAGAACCCTTTTTTGTAATTATCAATTTGTTTTCTTGTTTGGTAAACAAAAGGAATTAATAATTCTGGAGAAATATATATACACACACACACGCGCGCGCGCTACTTACTGGAAGGTACAGATGGTGTGATACAAGAAAAAAATCATGTCTGTCAAGAACCAATGTTGTTTTTCGATAGTTGTCGTGATAGAGATAGAGGAGGCTGTTGACGCCGCCGTTGCTTCTGGTGTTTCTACTGTTTCTACTGTTTTATCTACTCCTTGCGCAGCAACAGCAGCAGTGGCGCTGGCACGACGGATTGCGCGTTCACGACGCCATTCACTAAGAGTATGCCATGCTACCGTCTGTAAAAGATTATAAATGTATTTATATCGGAGAAAAAAAAAAAAAAAAAAAAGAACCAATTATGATTATGATTAGAAAAGTTGATAATAAAACGTAATAATGTATACATTATAAATGTACTTCCTCTCCTTCCTTATGCGCAGTAGTGTTTGACTAATGCAAATGACGTGTTGTCCTCTCTCTCTCTTTTTTTTTTTTTTTTTTTTTTTTTTTTTTCCGTGAATTATTATTTTACCCATTTCAAAACGGATATTGAAATACCCGGGTGAAAACAAATCTCCGTTTCTGTTGCTTTTGTTTTTGTTTTTGTTTTTGTTTCTTTATGTTTCGCATTGACATGAAAAAAAAAAAAAAAAAAAAAAAAAAAAAAGCACTTACACCAAGATAGGAGGTCAATCCGAGATATGACAACTGGGTCAGATAACAAAACTCGAATTGGGGTCGATCTGTCAAACAGATGTCTGACAACAGAACGGTGAAGGCGTAGAGGAATAGGGTAGCACGGAGACCAAAAAGAAATCCTGTGGGGATCCATTTTGGACAGCTGGACCGAACAATGACCTCAGATCTTGTCTCTGGTCGTCCATTGAAATTGAACAATCGTGCATAACGAGACTGAAGGACCTTTGGAGGGTGTCGCTCATGGTGATCTTTGGTAGGAAGAGGAAGAGGAGGAGGAAGAGTAGTAGTAATAGTAGTCATGGTGGTGATGGTTGTGCTACTACCAGTGATGCCACTACTCGTCTTCTCTTCATCATACGATTGCTTATGAAAGGGCAGTAAGAAAGGTCGATCACTGAGTGAACTTTGGGTTATACTGGATCCAGCAGTGCTGGGTCCACTCGTGGTGATATTCGAAGTAAAGTCGCCATTGTTGTTTTGAAATTGAGTGCAGATTGAGGGTGGAAGTTGTTGTTGTAGTTGTTGGAGTGGTGTAAGAATGGTGGTGGTGGAAGGTTGTTCTGAAAGTGATGTAGATGAAGGAGAGGAAGAAGAGGAAGAAGAAGAAGAAGATCCATCGACATCAATTGAGATATGATGAGTGGTATCAGTAACAACAGTAGCATCGTGAGATGCAACACTACCAGGTTGTGACATGATTCAGTCGAATCAAAAAGATGATAAAATGATGATAGTAGTTGTGGTAGTAGTTTTTTTTTTTTTTTTTTTTTTTTCTGTGGTGAATGTAAAAGAAAAAAAAAGAAAAAGAGAGAGAGAGGATTTGGTGTCTTGTTTAAATGGGGGTTTTTTTAGTGGCCGTATGAGGTTTAAATTCAAGGGTTAGATCCGAGATTTGGGGGGAGGAGGAGGAGGAGGAGGAGGGGCGCTTTGCAACGGATAAAAAAGGGCGTTCAATAAGAGAGAATGAAGAAGAGAAAGAGACTTAATTGATTCACTTTGACAAAAGAGGAGAAAATCAATCAAGGGCTGTGGAAATAGATCAGGAACTGAAGTTTCTTTTTTTCTTCCGATGTTGAGATTAGAGGCAACAATGTGTAAAACAATAATGCAACCGACAGAGAGGAACCAATGATGTTGAAGAGAACAAGGGTTGAGGAGAAGAGAAGAAGAGACAAAGAAAGGAAAGGTTGAAGATAAGTTGGATTTTTTTTTTTTTTTTTTTTTTTTTTTAGTGGGCAATTGGGCTAGTATTTTATATAATCTGCCGTTGCAGAAAGACCAATGATCATGCCATGTTAAGATCACGATATATACATTTATTATATAAATATATAAATTATAGTATACTCCATGTATTCTATTGTATATATCATTCTATTGAGGTATCATTCAACATGGTCAATGTGCAATAATAAACAATAGCCTAGTATAATACTACAGAGTAAAAACAAAAAACAAAAAAAGGGCGAATGGGTCATAATTGATTGGATTTGAATGTCTATTACTAAATACCATCTGTACATGTACGATTTCAAAACAGACTACAATGGGCCGGATATCTCTCTCTTTCATCGGAGGAAAATGTGCAGAAGGAATGAGGGAAGCAAATAAAAGAAATCTTTTCCTCTTTGCGTTTACATGTACATGGTAGAAGAAGAAGAACACAGCGCCTCCTCCTCCATTTTTACAATTCTACAAATTACAAGATTACTGAACGATGTTCCCCTGTAGAAAACCGATAATAGAATAAATTGCAATTCAGATGCAGAGTGAGGCCATCCCCTTTCCCTTTCCCTTTCCCTTTCCCTTTCCCTTTCCCTTTCTCTTTTCCCTATCCCTTTTCCTTCTCGGCTCCTTTCTCCTTTCCAAAAGGAGCAAATGAATGCATGCTGATCTAACGCCCTCACATACCATACACTAATATCCCCCATACCTCAATCTTTTTTAAAAAAAGAAAAAAGCGATGGAAAGGAATGAGGTATCTATGCTGTACATAATAATAATAAAAAGAGCTAATCATTAGAATCGGCGGTATTGTATTTCGTTCTTAGGGAAGGCGGAAAAAAAAAAAGAAAGTATTATTGCAATTACAACTGGTTGTATATATCTGTTCTGGAGGGAACAGGAGAAGGAGAAGGAGTATTTTATTTTTTTTATCCCTGCATGTACGGTGCAGCTCCATTCCAGTGCAAAAGGAAAGGTAAATATCGAGTGACAGATGCGATCTAGGAAGAGAGAAAATATCGTTCATACCATAGTCCAGACATCCTGCAGATACAAAAAAAAAACAAAAAACTATGGAATGATGATGATAGAGCACACAAAACAAAAGGAAGGACTCTTGCCCATTGCCAACATAACACACAGCAGGTAATACAGCAGGATCAACCCCACATGTCTATATGAACCTGTCTTGTCTTGTCTTGCCCTGTCTCGTCTTGTCTTGTCTTGTCTTGTTTGTTTACCCGCCTGTTTGGCTGTTTGGAGTAGAGTTAACAGGAACAACGATTTTTCCTCTGTAGCGCGTTAGAGTAAGTTTTACAGGAGGCGATGGTGCCCTTGTCCAGTCATAAAGTCTTCCGCCACTCTTTTTCCCCTCATAACTTCATCTCCGCTCTTTTATAGTTCAACATCCATCCTTGGTCTGTGTGGAATACACAATTGCGATAGCCAGAATGATCTCGACCATTCACACACATACACGTTTGTATTCTACGTGGACTATGCACACGTTCTTGAAATACACTTCCCTCACCTTTTTTTTTTTTTTTTTTTTTTTTTTTCTTTTGCCCAGGGCGTTGCATCTATGCGGTTACACCAGATCAGCCCACAAGGGCGTACCTTGTGTTTCCTGTGAATATTTTTTAAAAAATTATGTACGTGTACAGCCTTTCAAATAGAGCCAGGATGGAGGAAACAGTAGTTAAAGATTGTTTTTTTTTTTTTTTTTTTTTTTCTTGGCACCAAAGCCTAACCCTAGAAAGATGAGGATGCTCATATGATCCACTCTTTGATTGACTGTTGGCAAATGTTGATCTACGTAATGATTATTTATCTATTAAAGAGATCTTCCTAGACAGAGCCTTCGTCATTCGTAAAAAAAAAAAAAAAAAAAAAAGAGCCTGGCCTCAATGTTTCGGCATACGGTGAAATATTTTTTGCAATGCTAAGAGCATGTTGTGCGGAGATTCCTGCCGAAACAAAAGGGGGGGAGGGGGGGGAGAGGAGGGGAAATGAGGGTGGCATAGTCTATGTACCACAAGTTTTTGAGCATCTGAATGTTGCTTACATGTTCATGTTTCGAAAAAATAAAATAAGCGGACAATTTTTTATCATTATTGTTTTTCCTTTAAATGCTATCGAGAGCATCGGAAGTCAAGGGTTTGGTTTATTACGACGATCAATTGAGCAATCGAACGTTGAATACTGTTAAACTCCTTCATTAATAAAAGACGTAATCCATAGAAACATGTGTGTAAACAAGTTTTTCTATTTGTTTTCACCTAATGTTCATCTTAAATTCCTGATCTGCTGAGCTATCGAACGTAATTTAGTCCCCCTTCCCTCTTTCTCTCTTTTCAGCACCTCCTTTTTGCCCCCCCTGCCTCTCTTTTCATTCACCCACATACCCTAGTCTGTGGCACCATGTGTCCTGTAGGATGATGCTGTTTAAGATTCAATGGTCTCAATCCATGGTTGTGATTCAAACTTCAGGAACGTTTCGCATAAACGTTTTTCAGCAATTAATTTCGGCGCATTTGTTTGTTTATTAAAAAATCAAATACAATCCCAAAATTCATCTATCCTCGCCTCTTTGTCATACCAGATCAAGTGAGTAGTCTCATAGACTCTCCCTTCCTTGCCATCGTAGTGAAGTGTGACCGTGAATGGAGAGCTTTGAGTAGGATCCTGGAGAGGATTTAGTTTCAATTGGAGATCGAAGCAAAACATCTTGTCATCAGAACATATAGTGCCAGGATACGTCCCAGTGGCTGTCATGTCGTAGACATAAGGGCTGATCTCTAACCGGCCCGTGACAGATGCCTCAATACTCTTTCTGGAGGGTGAAAGATGAGTGGTCAGATAAAAGGTTGAGGAGTGACATGCATGTGCTGTTATGTGTAGTAAGCATGAATAGAATAGCTGAAAAAGGAGGAAAAGAGTCGTTGTCTTTACTCGACTATGACTGAACATGGCTTTAATTTTATTTTTCTATAAAATGACTGGATCTAATGAGAACGAATTTTGAGTGATGAATGGGAGATGGATGCATCACTTTGAAAGGATGATGGCGTTTTGATACACCAGTCACCTTTTTTTTTTTTTTTTTTTTTTTTTTTTTCATCCAATCAGACAAGTGGAATTTGGTTCTGTACTCCCACAATTCGCTTTTTGAAAAATCCAACTTTATTTACTTCGACATCCTCTTTCCTTCTTCACATTCACATTCATTAGTCTACTTTCCTCTCCTTTACTTCTGCATCCTTAGACCCCAATTCCCCCACTTATTGTTATTATATATATCTTTTTTTTTTTTTTTTTTTTTTACTTGTCCATAAACTGACCATGCATTCTCAGTCCTTCTTGTGGGCACCAAATCTCTTCAGCCATGTTTTTTTTAGTTTCTGCTCAGTCTAACAATCGACATTCTGTTATCTATCCTCAAAGCTTTCCCTGCTTTCAGCACCTGTTCTTCGCTCAGCATTACTCAGATAGTTACGCCCGCCAAAGTCATTCTTGATCAGAAACTGTTTGACACTGATGAATTCTACAAGAAAACCGATGATGCACTGCGTTCCAATGTCCCGCTCCATTGATGTGGGGATGTGGCTGAAATGCAGGCCACCCATCGATAACCCAACCAAGGGTATGGTTACAAAGCAGCTGCGCATGTATGACTTCACAAAGGAACAGATCAAAGAACTGAAGATGACTCGGCCATTCATCTTGATCTGTGCCATTCTCTGGGGCTCAGATCAATGAGTACATCAAGCAGTGTGTAGCAGCCATGGATATCAAGCATCCAAGATGCGTCTGGCTTAAATGAAGCTAACAGAAAGCTTTTGGAGCAACGTGGGGCTGTCAGCGACCTAGCACAGTGTCCAACTTCTGAAGGAGCAAGCAATGGGATTAAAACAGTGACATCTACACCATATGAGTCCGAAACACAGGAAAGCAATATTTGGATAGGAGTTCAGAGAGAGAAAGCTCCAGAGTGGGGCTATTGGTCGCTAAAAGCGAGGAAACCAAGGGATATCGATTCATTTGAGTAATTGTAGCGAATGTAGTGAGTGTGAGATTGCGCATTTTATTACGCGGGGCTCTTATGACGGTATCGATAGGACTGATCAGTACCGTCCAGAGGAGTCCTATTCTCTCATTATTCTTCCTTTGTCTTTTCCAATCTATAATAAAAAAGCAGCCGTCAAGGAGTATACAACTTGTATACTTTCTTGTTTTATTATTGTTTTTGTTATTTACAAATAAAGACTTTTTACATATTGATCCGTTGGTTCAAAAAAAAGGAGAGAGTTGAAGAAGCAAAAAAAAAAAAAAAAAGAACCAACAGGGTAACACCCCTTAAATAAACCCATTTTCGTTCCTGACCCTCGAAAACACACTCGCATCATTGCATCATTCATTCATTCTCATTTATTCCGACCATGTCCGCCAGCAAAAGCAACAACACCAACAACCAAAGCTTTCCCAGTGAAGAGATTCTCTCACGCAAGGTGACAACAGGATGATTTTGCACAGGAGTCCATTCTTTTTTGGGCTGATCAGTCTTTTTTCTTTTTTTTTTTTTTTTTTTTTTTTTTTTTTCACGCGCGGACAGCAGGATTCACACCTCTTTTTCATCTTTTTCTTTTAAACTTTTTGATACATTACATTTTATTAGTGGGATGAATGCATCTCTAATGTCATTGTCAAGTCTGGTATCGGCCTCAGTGTCGGTATTGTTGCCTCGGCTCTTGTTTTCAAGAGTAAGTGCAATCTTTTTATCTTTTTAAAAAATTATGAATCGAGCGAGTCCAGAGATATTCATTTTCCTTTTTTTTTTTTTTTTTTTTTTTTTTTTTTTTCATTTTAGAGCGTTCTTGGCCTATCTCTATCTCAACTGGTCTTGGTTTAGGTTATGCCCTTTCACAGTGCGAACGTAACTTCAATCCCAAGTTGGTTCCCGTTGTTAAACAAGCTCAGGAGAAGAAATGAAGAGAGGAAAAGAGATGAATAAACATTATAACCATGGATAAAGATTTTTTTTTTCTTTTCTTTTCTTTTTTTTTTTCTTTCTTTATTGACTCGCTTGGAGGATGTACATTTTAATGAAGCGTCTAATTGTAACAATAGGGAAATAAAACATTGTGTCACATGTCACGTGCATTTACAAAAAGAAACGGACTCTTTTTTTCCTTCTCTAGTCTTCCACGATAGGGAAGCGCGTTTCCCATTTGATGTATTTACTTTTTTTTTATTCTCCTCTCTTTTTTTTCATCTTAACTGCATCTTATCCATTCTTTCAACTCACATCAACAAAACTTTGCACAATGGTAATGGAAAAGAAGCATCATGTAGACCATACGTCTGCATTTTTATTGTTCTATTTTATTATATTTTATTTTTATTTTCTTTTTGTACCCAATTGCATTCGAGAGAACCCCTCCAAGCCATCAAAGGGATCAGCTTCTTTTCTTCTTTCTTTCTTTCTTTCTTTCTTTCTTTCTTGGCCATAAAGCGACACAAAAATTACAATGTTAAACAAATAACGATCAGGGTTAATGGAAAATAGCGAACCCAATTCTAGTTGAATGAGAATGACAGACGTAACTAACTAAATATTTCTCAATTCCATGTCATCTGCTTTCACTTTTCAACTATGATGCCTTTTTCCTAGTCTCTGGCTCCAGTGCAGATCTTCCAGGATAACGCGACCGAGGAGCGCGCCGAGAATGCTCGTTTGGTATGTTGAAGTTATATGGGTTATATATATTTACCTTGTCTCGTTTTCTTAGCTTGCTGGATAGACCATGGATCAAAGCAGTTCGATGGTTTGCTACTGCATCAGAGATGAGATCACAAAGGAACTAATTAGATCAAGTTTTGTTTCGTAGTCCTCTTTCATCGGCGCCATTGCTGTTGGTGATTTGGTCAAGAGCACTCTTGGACCCAAAGGAATGGTATGTTGTTGATCGTTTAATTTCCTTTTGTAAAATTTTTATATTATTTTATTTTATTTTATTTAATTATTTTTGATCTGTTGACTGAAAGAGCTTTATACTATTTCTATTCTACTTTATTTTTGAAATGGGTCTTTCAGGACAAGATTCTTCAATCTGCTTCCACAGGAGAGGTCATGGTGACGAACGATGGCGCGACTATTTTGAAATCAATCTCTCTCGATAACGCTGCTGCTAAAGTGTTGGTCAATATTTCCAAAGTCCAGGATGATGAAGTAGGCGATGGCACGACCTCTGTCTGTGTCCTTGCTGCAGAATTACTTAGGGAGGCAGAGAAGCTGATCAGCCAAAAGATTCATCCTCAGACCATCATCGAGGGATTCCGTATTGCGAGCGCAGCGGCCTACAAGGCTCTGGAAGAGTCTGCAGTAGATCATAGCAAGGACCCTGAGGTGTTCAGAAAGGATCTGATCAACATTGCTAGGACTACATTGAGTTCCAAGGTGCTCTCGCAGGATAAGGAGTATTTCTCTAAATTGGCTGTGGATGCGGTATTGAGATTGAAGGGCAGCACCAACCTTGAGAATATTCAGATCATCAAGAAGGTCGGAGGTCGTCTTGCAGATTCTTATTTGGATGAAGGTTTCATTCTTGACAAGAAGATCGGTGTCAACCAGCCCAAGAGGATTGAGAACGCTACCATTATGATTGCAAACACCCGTAAGTCGGTTGCTTTTATCATTATTTAATCCTCTACGCCTTGCCATTTTTTTTTTTTTTTTTTTTTTTTTTTGTTGTTGCATGACTCCTAATCCGATTGACTTTATTTATTACATATAGCTATGGACACAGATAAAATCAAGATTTTTGGTGCTCGTATCCGTGTAGAGGGTACTGGCAAGTTGGAAGAGTTGGAGCGTGCAGAGCGTGAAAAGATGCGCGCCAAGGTCGACAAGATCAAGGACCATGGAATTACCTGCTTCGTCAACAGACAGCTTATCTATAACTGGCCTGAGCAGTTGTTTGCCGATGCTGGAATCATGTCGATCGAGCACGCTGACTTTGATGGAGTGGAACGTCTGGCTCTTGTAACTGGAGGAGAGATCACCTCGACCTTTGACCATCCTGAACTCGTTCGTCTTGGACACTGTGATGTCATTGAAGAGATCATTATTGGAGAGGACAGAGTAAGCCATTAAGCAATCAAAAAAAAAAAAAAAAAAAAAAAAAAAAAAAAAAAAAAAAAAAGCTCTCCTTGATCAAAAATAACACAAGAAAAAGCACAGAGAGGCTCTAAGCTAACAAACATTGAATTGTTTTATATACATATTAGTTGATCAAATTCTCGGGTGTTGCTGCAGGTGAAGCTTGCACAGTTGTTCTTCGTGGCGCAACCCATCAACTTCTGGATGAGTCTGAGCGTTCGCTTCATGATGCTCTTAGTGTGTTGTCACAGACGACTCAGGAGCCCAGGACTGTTCTTGGAGGAGGATGCTCTGAGGTTTTGATGTCGAAGGCTGTGGATGAGGTTGCAGCCAAGACGGCTGGTAAGCAGCAGGCGGCAATTGAGGCCTTCTCACGTGCTCTTCGTCAGATGCCTACTATCTTGGCTGATAACGGAGGATATGATAGCGCAGATTTGGTGGCCAAGTTGAGAGCTTCGCACTATGATGGTAACACTACCCACGGTCTCGATATGGAGCATGGCACAATCGGTGATATGCGTGAGTTGGGTATCACAGAGTCGTTCAAGTTGAAGCGTCAGGTATTATTGTCGGCTTCTGAAGCTGCTGAGATGATCTTGAGAGTCGACAACATTATTCGCTGCGCACCAAGGTAAGATAAATTGTGCTTGAACAAGGGGAAAAAAAAAAAAAAAAAAAAAAAAAAAGATAAAGATAAAAAGACTAATTTTTGAATGCTTTCTACTCGATCTTGTTTTACTTGATGTAGGCAAAGACAGGGATAAATGTGAGGAACTAAACGTAGGAATTAAAATAGGATCGACTGAATAAATAAAACTACAGACATTGAGCGTTACAGCAATAACATATCATATGAAAAGCATTTTCTTTTTTTATTATTATTATTTTCAAAACTTTCCATCTCGAAGCAAAAAATATCGACCACCCATAATACATTTGAAAAAAATAAAAAATAAAAAATGGAGGCATCAACAGCCAGCAATGAGAAGGACTTTTTCTTTCTTATGCTCGACAAGAAGACCAGAATGGGAAGCCACAGGCGGTACAAACAATGAGGTAGATGAGGAACTATTAGGATAAGGTAAAAATTCGAATCAGTACCGGGTCCAGACCTCTCTCCTTTTTGTTCCGTGAAAAGAAATATATATATATATATAAGTTACCACAATGACGGCAGTTAGAATGATCATCAACTTGGTGTTCTTCCACCACATTGCTCTCTAGAAGATATTACAGAAAAAAAGTAGGGAAATTTTTTTTTTGATGTCAATGACGATATGTATTTTGAAAGAAGAATTCGACGGTTCAAGGATTCCATGGAGGGGGGGGGGGGGGAGGGGAAGAAGAAGGCCCTAGTTTCTAGATAAGGGACATGCCCGCGTCTTTATCTCTCTCCTGGATGATGGTTTGTTGGAGCTTCTCAATATCATGCACCTCATATCTAAAGCTGCTTTGTTACCTTGAGAGCAGTACTCCTCTTCTTGAAAGCAAATGCCTGCTGATTCAAGTTATCAGTCTTGTCCACGAGTAATTCAATACGCTCTCCACGTTCCAGTACTCGTTCTAGAAAAGGATAAAAAAAAGCGCATGATTGCATTAAAAAAAAAATAAAAAAAAATAAAAAAAAAAGTAAGACACATGCTTTTGGAGGCTCTGTTTTCATCCTTTACTCTCATGGCTCACGGGATCAAAGGGAGGGAAAAAAAATTACAGACAGTCAGATCAACGTACCAATGTTCTGTACCATGACATCTTTGACCTGTTCAATTTCACCTTGCACCTGCTTGATCCTGTCAGCGTTAGGATTTGATGAGAAATACTCCTATTAAAGAAGAAGAAGAAGAAGAAAGGGTTAATTTAGTTGTTAGATAAGCTGATTCGAATCATGGAAGCGGAGTCTTAAAAAAAAGGGAGCCGGGATGGAAAACAGTGGGTAAGAAATTGCTCCTCCTTTCGTACCATTTGCTTGGCAATTGTTTTTGAAAACTCATTCATAGCATAAGGTACATGAGCATTGAGTCCTCTATCCCGCCCATATTGTTCCAAGAACCGTTGTTTGATATCTTGCAAGAACGCGAAGGGGACCCGACGTCCGAATGTGTCGTCTGCCATGCACATGTAAGTCAATCCATCTTCACAAACATAATGGAAAAGATATCTATTTGTTTTCAATAAAAAAATAAATTAATAAATAAAAAAGGGTCCATAATCATTGTCAGTCATGGAGGTTATTAAAAAAAAAGGGGGAAGCGTGTGTGTGTGTGATGACATGGTTGTTGAAAAGAAAGGAGCACTTTTACAGTTGTACGTACTGAATAGAACTGACAAGTTTTTTCTTTCTCTCTCTCTTTTTTTTTTTTTTTTTTTTTTTTTTTTTTTATTTTTTTTTATTTTACCTGTCATAGACATAAGTTAATTTGGAGTTGTTGGGTGGAATCTTTTCAAGGATCGCTTCAGTCACTATGGAGAGGAAAGTGAATTGCAATCGTTAAAATCTCTCGGAAATACATGTCATGGTGTCATAGTGATTTGACACCAAATGATAATATAAAAGTAAAGGCAACCCACCTTGAGTAAAGTTTCCAGTTGAGTTTGTATATTCAGCAAGGATAATGCTTCCTTTTGCAACAAGAGCATAGATGATGGACATGGCAAAAAAAAAAAAGAAAAAAGAAAGAAAGAAGTGGTAGTATGCGAGTAAGTGGGTAGTAAAAAGGTTAGTGGTTGTTTGAAAAGTTAGTTGGTGTTGCAGTGGAGAAGAGGTAGCAGAAGTAGTTGGAAATAACAGTGGTAGAGAGAGTAAGAATAAAGTACAAAGGAATAAAGTCTGAAAGGGGGGGGGGAATGAAGTTGAACGAGAGAAGTGAATGCAAAAGAAATCAAAAATGGAATGAGGAAATAAAGAGAACAAGCATGGAATAAAAGCGAAATTATATGGCCAACTCCACTCGCTGCAAGACTGCAAGAGACCATAAAAAAAGGAGGCTGCGCTTCAGCCACAGCCACGAGGGAAAAAGAAGAAGAACCGACTTTTCCTTTCCAAATCGAGCAGGCAACCAAACGTTCAATCACATTTGTTTGTTTTGCTCCCTGTGCGTGGCACATGCACGTCTGTATGCCTGTATGCCTGTATGCCTGTATGCCTGTATGCAGACAAACATTCTCCATTTAATCTTTGACTATCATCCGAATATCGCACTACTTTGCTGCAAAAGTAGTGCTTTACATTGTTAGTCAAATTCATTTGTTCATGCACTATGATATCATTGGCGACGCGTTCTTCCTCCGGCTGTCTTTTTTTGATGGTCAATTCTTCTAGATGAGAAAAACATGAACTAATAAAAAAAAAAATGCAATGTGTTTAATACTGCAGCAATAGGATCAAATAGCCCTTACATGTCAAAACCCGTGATGAAAGATAAGAGTGAGTGATAGTAAAAGGAAAAAAGAGTAATAGAGAAAGAGAATGGAGGGTATTTGTTTATGACATTTGAAGACGTTGGTCTGTCGGTGAAATATCTTCATATTTCTTTAGCACAGCTCTCTTTATGCCTTTGCTCTTCCATATGTCAAAATTAAATATCATCTCTTTGCGACAATATCAATTAATGGCACCGATCCAAAGCATCACTTGCTCTTACATTCTCTGGCATATCATAAAGATGATATATGCACTAACCCTTGATAAGTTTTTTTTTTGCCTATCTTTCTCCATCCGTCTAACGTTTTTGATGGATTTATCTTGCATCTAGAGTCCTGTTGAGTCCCAAGTACCACCATCCAAGTTCTTGAACTGAGAAAGACTGTGGCCAAGAGATTCTGTTGGAGTGAGGGTTTGCTGAAGGGGAACGACAACTTTAGCTTATTATTCGAGAGTCGGGACGCATCCTTTGATATCTCTTCCTTTACAACTGGAAATCAAGGATTTGGCAAAGCAGGCTTTGAGATGTTTTCTGGTTATAGTTAGGTCAATAAGATCAAAGTTGTCTTTATTATTGTTACCAGGCATGAGCATTTTTTTTTTTTTTTTTTTTTTTATAAAGAACTCGCCATGGTCGTCACACAATGTTACAATGTTCTGACCTTATGAATAAAAATGGAGGTGCTCCTGAGGTGCACTCCCAAGTCTCGGTACGTAACAACTTCTCCCCAGGTTTCAAGGCAAAGTTATAGCCGTTATAACACGAGGTAAGAAGGAGAAATAGAAAAACCTCTAATACTATAGATAACTGTGAGGAAAAATAGACTAAAGCCCTCTCTACGAATGATACTGACTAGCCAATACCTGGACGCTCCTACGCGGCCAGCTCTTGTTGTTTGTCAAAGAGAACCATAGTGAAAGAGAGCTGATTATATTGTTAATTTTAGCACTGAACATCGTGAACAATAGAGATCGGGATGAGATTGTTTGCACATATCCACCGAGATTAAAACAGCTACTATAGAAAGTCTGCGAGAAACCTTCAAGATCCTTATTTGGAGTTTGATGAGTTCGAGGAAGTCCAAATATCTGTGTACGATGAGGAAACGAGGACATTTTCGTTGTTGGCAGACGACATTCAATTTCGTTCTATCTTGGCAAGATTTCAGCAAAAAAAGTGAAAGAGGCTCATTATATCTTTGGATACCCCAGCCATTAGTTTTTCGTCATGGGACTGGAAAAAAATTCAAGACACGTATAAATTACAATCGTTCATGGATCTACCAGAATTTGATCTCAAGCCCAAGGAGGACTTGACAGAAGATGACGAGGCAATATTGGGACATATTGTGCAGGATTGCATTCGCAAGGGTAGAACCTATGCATTTAATGCACAATCAAATGAGGCCACAAGATCAACAATTATCGATGCATTCATGGTTGGAGCAGCATCGCTCTATGCGCCCGACATGATCCTTTTGCAACAACAGTCTTTAAAAGGCACGCGCGGCTATGGGACTTTGGACTTTGCTGTTGTTGACCGTATCAATTCGGGGCAATTTCTTGGCATTACGCAAGTGAAGAAGGACGATCATGTGCAAGGCTTTGCACAAAATATGGTACAGCTCGATGTAGCCTTGCACAATAGGAAACGAAAACGAACTGAGGAGGATGGGGATTGCCCTAGAGCCCTTAGGGCTTATGGAATCGTAACCGACTCATGGCAATGGGCATTTGTTGAATCTACATTGGAAAATGGCACGCTAAAATACCGAAGGTTGGAACTGACTAAATATTTAGAAGTGAGAGGAGAAATGAAAGACGTGAGAGACAGATGCAAGCTTATATTTGGCTATGTCCTTACTCTTTTCGAATTAATGAGGGATGAAATGAGCACGAGAGGGTAGTTTCAACATCGAATCTGACTCCCCAGCAACCAAAAAATCAAAATTTGATCAGTCATCAACAACAACAATAACAACAACACAATGATATCCGCTTAAAATAGCATACAGCAATTTTGTAATAAATAATATACCAATATCATCGGTTGAAAGCTTTCAAGTAAAATGGAGTGGTGCTTTAGAAATGTCTAACAAAACGCCTTCAATAGTGTGGTTTATTTTTATTTTAAAGAAATATATGTATAAACACATTACTTCAAAGCTTTTTTTCTTTGTGCTCGACGCATCTTAATGTAGGAATTGTTGGAGCCAGCGTTGATGATAGCCTTGGAAACTGACGTTAGGGCATCAGTTTCCTTTTCCACTAACGTCATGCATGTTGATTTTGATATCTCTTCTAGCACAGCTTCAATTAGCTCCTTCTTGAATTGATACAACTTCCTCTTCTGTGCATCGAATCCTGAACGCCATTTTGCTCTTTTTTGGTCAGAGCTCTTATTCAAAGCCCAGATCGAGGGCCGTCCATCGACACCATGGAACCATTCCATCCATTGATCCTTGAGAGGCGCTGCTTGCGGAAGCATTTCGTGCGAGGGCAGGGTAGTTCCAATCTGAACGTAGAGCATGGCGATCTGTTCTGCCAATTGGTCCAAATCATCTCTACCTTGCTTATCAGACTGAGATTGAGATTGAGATTGAGAGTGAGCTTGTCTTTGTTCTACAACCACCTCTTTTCTTTCTCTTGCTCCGTCTACTTCATTGAAGAATGAATCCTCGCCTTGTAAAGATGAAGAAGTGGTGGTAACGCTCGCTTGCTCATGAACCGGCTCATGGTTAACCAGGTGCCCGTCTGTGTGCCCTTGCTCCTGGGTGAATGGGCTCCTCCGTCCTGCTCCACATCCCTGCTGCATCTGGAGATCGAACTCTCGCATTTGCTCTTCTTGGATTGATTTGATCTCAGATACAGTATGGTCTATAATTCTTCCTGCACCATTGAAGGCCCCCTTTATCCCTTGAGAGAGTACCACTAGCTGACGATTGACACTTGACATATGCGTCCTGAATGAAGAGGTCAAGTTACAATTAGATGTATCAACGCGTTCTCGTGATCGTATGAAGTCATCAAGGGCTGAAAACTGTGCTCCTAAAACATCAAGTTTCTGCGCTATTGCGGGAGCGTTTGCTGCAAGGCTATCCATCGAGGGAGATCTTGCCTCACTCATTGTTTGGTACAACTTTGCACTAAACTCTCCGAACTCTGGCGATTGAAAGACTGGCATCTGGCAGATATGGTGCATCCGGTAAATCCGGTAATAGCAATTAGCATTGTCGGTAATTTCCATAAGTACAGCCATATCCTGGAGAATAATCTTCCGAAAATGAGCAAGAATAATATTAAAGCATATTTTTGGTATTTCCTCCTCGCGATGGCTTGTTTGTCCTAAAAGGGGTCGATTGTAGTCCTCGGAGCGGTCCATCATGATATTCTCAATTCGCTGCTCCCAGTCTTTGTTCCCTTCAAACAGGTTCTCAATGAAAGGAAAAATCATTCTCTGAAGTTTGGGATCAGGAATAAGTGTGTTGCGAGGGAGCCAGAATTCCTCATCAGTTCGCGAGAAGCCTGCCATTGCATACGGAACAGCTCTTGAAACTGGATGTAGGTAATGGATCGCCAAGCGAGAATGAAGCCAATTGCCTTGCTGAGATATCTGGTCATGCGATGATCCATTGAGCATTGCGCGTTGTACTCCAGCTTTGCGACCCGCATGAGTAACTTTATCGCTATGATGGTCTGCCTTATTCATGACCCCTTTCATAGCTCTAAGAGCAAGAAGTCGCGAGGAAGCGTCAATCCATCAATTACTATTACACTACCATACAAAGCCCTGTATACCCTGTACTTACTTGTAGAGTGAGGTTGAGGACATACGGGTTCTATCAGAGGCGCCGAAAATGAGGAAAGTTTCCATCCATTTGTCGTCATGAAAATCAGGAACGTTGTTTTTGTCCTACAGTCAAAAGTTACAAATAACAATAGATGTGAGCAATCGAATGTCGGTATAGCCCCGTAACATTAAACAGAAAAAGTATCAGGAACTAACCATCCATAACTCTAATAGATAAAATCCTAAGGCACCTAAAGGACACAGCTCAACATCTTTATTGCGAATACAAGACGAATAGATAGTGAAGTCCTGATTTGTCTTGCCATGTGTAATCTCAAGAACAAGGGCAAAAGAAAGTTGGCGCCCATTCTCAGCTGTTGCATGGATATGTGGGAACAGGCTACTCAATTTCGCATCAAGTAAATTTTGGCCACGAGCAATCAAAAAATGATTCAAAGCAAAGCTAACTCGGT